CTTCCAAACCAAGTTTAACTACCCTAATAAATGGCATTTTTAGTCATTAATAAACCCACAATTACCAAAACGTGTAAGCTCATTATTCTTAAGTTTAAATATTTCAAACAATTCCTATTAATACCATTTGAGTTAATGGGTTCAGATTCATAATTTATATGAATCAAAAATCATCTCTCATTATCAAATCTTAACACAAAATTTTAAGAAAATGGAAGAAAAAGGGAGATTAGGGCTTGAAGAACTTACCTCAAGTGATTAATATCTTCAAAATACTTTAAATACCTTCTAAATGTGAACCTTAGTAGAGCTTTGATAGTTGCTCTTCGTTCTCTCCCTTTTTCTCTTTTTGATTTTTAGTTTGTTCATGAGTTTTTTATCAAAAGATTAGGCCATGTGCCGCGATACATGCAATACACACTGCAGCGCATGTCACAAAGAGGTTCTCCTATCCTTTTGCCATCTATGTGTCACAGCAACTATATTGCACGCTGTGATATTTGACACAGAGACTATTCCTTCATGTTTTTTCCTTTTTTTCGATGCCTAGGTGGCTCGACTTCATTTTGAATCCATAATTAAGGCTGAAAGTACAATCGAATACAACTATTAGACCTCTTAGGCTACATATAACAACAAATCACTCAATCTGCATAATTAAACTTGACTAATTCCTTAATAATCCAGGGGTTAGAATTTGGGATGTTACACTTAGGAATGGGGGGGAGAGAGAAGAGACGAGCAAGATTAGTGAAAAAAAGCCACCTCTTAACTCAAAACCTCAATGCTCAAGTTTACAAATCTTTTTATTATATATTAATTATTAAGTCTAACTCTATTAGATGTTAGACTTCCCACATCGTCTTATATATGTCCACTTACACTTGAATAATCTAACAATCACTCTCAAACAATCTTGCCTTTTCTTTCTTACTTCCCTTCAACAAAATATAAGATAAGCAGTGCTCAATTTTTTTTTGTTTTAAAAAAGAAAAATTAATTATTTGGTTATCACTATACTTTTAATTTAATTGTAACTTGATACTTAAATTTTAACTCAATCTATATAGTTTGACTCAATTATAACCCATTCTTTGAATTTTAACTTAATGTGGCTTAGATTTTATAGTTTTAGCTATTTAAAACATTAGTTTCTAAGCCTTAATAATAAATTGATTATTTGTAATTTTATTTTTTAAGATGTAGGGACTAACATTTTAAGTAAATAAAACTAAAAGGACTGAATTGTAAAAGTTAAAATTTAAAGACGTTTTTAAATTGAATTAAGAGCATGGACGTTGACTTGCATATTAAATGAAAATTCAGAAATTGGGTATTTAATTGAGTCAACATTTTTTTTAAGTTACTATGTTGGCAAAAACAAAAATACTAGTCAATACAGAAAAATTCATGGGTTGCTTGGTTCGATTTATCAAATCTATCAGAAAATTAGCTTCACAAAAAGTAAACATTTTAGAAAGTCGACTATTGCTTGATTCATTTTTTTAACATTGTTTAGAAGTCTCAGATATTTTTTTAAATAAATATAATATTTCAAATTTTAAAGCCAAAAATGCCTTTTTTTCATGATGTTAAACGTAAATTTGAAAATTTAAGGTCCTTTTTATCTAGTATTTTCTTTTTTAAATAGAAGATGATAAATGCTCAAATATTTTTTGTTTTGAAAATATATTACAGCATTAGAATGGCATGTGATAAGGTATTTTATATAATTATCTAATTGGATCAATTTTGAGCATTGTCAAGTATAATGAGGGATAAATATTTCAAAGACATTTTTCTTGTATTTACACAAACTTAAACTCAAGTCGTTGCATTTAAGCAATTATAACTCCTTTCATTAGCAATGCATACTGGCAACATGTGACCAGTTATAAAGACATGTTAACTTTAAAATTGTTACTTTTTATGTTTTGAATAAAAAGATCATGATAAATTATGTTAGGTGTAACAATCAAATCATATCAAAGCTCAAAGACTTTTAGAGCTTAAATTTTTTTTATAGAAGCCAGAAACAAGTCAATTAACATGTTTATTCATTTCTCTAAATATATGATTGAAATAATCATCAATCTCTTATGATAAGGTTCTTGTTCTTGTTGATAGCTTTTGAGATAAGGTGATTGGAATTGTATTAAATAAGCAAGAGAGTTTTAAAAGAGTTCAGATAGATATTAATTTTAATAAATTTTCTATTCAAAAAAAGGACAAGGCTTTCAAAGATGGCTCAAAACTTACCAACAGTGTTGGGTAATAATTAAACCACTCTAAATTTAATCTAATTTTTTTTTATCATCACAATTTAAAATTGCCACTTTAAATAGAGCACAAAAGGCCGAAAATTGTTTAAATTAGTTATACATTTTAAGAATAAAGCTAAAAGTGTTACCAATACTATCGAATAAAAAATTATTTTATACAGCATTAGTATATTTCAGCTACAACTAAATTAAAAAAATTGTCAAGAAAAAACAAAATTTAAAAAATTTAAAGTATTATTTTATAATTAAAATTGTCAATATCACATTTACAATTTTTTTTTTGTTGGCATCACAACGATAATCCCTTCTCTCCTCAACGATCGATGGATTCCGACCAATTCGGCAGTTTCGAAATTTACTCCTCCTCTGGTCTCCGATTCCCTGGCTGCTTATTCCTTCCCTTACCCTGCTCCGTTCTGAGGCCATCGTCTTCTCTTTCTTCTGCTTGAGCATCGATTTCCATTGGCCTCTCCGTTTCATTCTCAGTTGTTTAATGGGTAGTGATTAGTGAGCGAAAACTGAGCTCCTGCGAGAGGTACACACTGGACTTCTTCGTATGGATCCTTCATTTGAGTCTATTTCAAACAAGTAATTTTTTTTTTCTTTTCCTCTAGCAATAACTCTTTTGAAGCAAGTCGTTAGATAATAATGCACTTGCTGAATGTGGGACTCTATTTCTTAACCTAATGCACCATCATGATTTGTAGGGTAGCCTGAAGTAAGTCTCTGATTCGTTAGCCTCTTTCAAGGTGGGTTTGTACTTGATGTACTAACAGGCTTATACTCAAGTACGGATTACATGACCCTTTTCCTTTTCAGTATTCCTGACTTAGGCTATAGTTATTTGGCATTTTGCACGAGTCGGTATAAAATATCATTAGAATCTCCATGGAAAATGATTTGGGACTGGGAAAGCTTAAGTAGCCTATTCAATGTTTTTTCACCCTCTTTTGCACGATTACTTTGTTGAAATAGGAACTCTTTCAAAAGAGCATACAGCCATACATGATATTTCCATTCATACTATGCAAATTACATATTTCTTGGCATTCTTGTTAAATCAATTTATTGTTGGAAAGAGGAGATTAGTTGTGCTTATTGTGCAAGAGCCTATTAGTGATTTTCCTTCGTTTTCTGTGGGGCGCAGGGAAGAATGAATTGCTTGATTGTCAAAGGTCAGTTATTGTAAGAGTTCTGACTGGATTGGTCATGTCTTGAATGACTTTGGTTGCTTCCTTGTTCTCATATTCATTTGATTCATCATTATGCACCAATACTCTTTGTTTACAAAGGCCCTGGTTGCCTTCTCTACCCTCCAAGGACCATTCAATTTTATCGATATCAAGATTGATACATAATCTGAAGGTGAAACCCGTGAAAAATCATTTAAAAAAAAAGCATATTTTTTAATTCATTATATCGTTGAGAAGTGATTTCTTAAGTTATTATTTGCTTTAGGTAAACCCTTTTTGAAATTGTGGAAACTCTATTTTGTTAATAAAGGGTTGTAACTGCGATATGGCTTATCATATCTTGTCTTCTTATTCTTTCCATGCCTAATCTATTTGTATTCCTTGAATAGACCTATATTTTCAGCAGCATATACTTTGTTGGATGAATTTCTTGGTTGAGTTATAAAACGAGGAAAACAAATTTTTATTTTTGGTACTCAGTTTCCATTGTTTGTCTCTTGACTCTCTCTTTGCACCTATGCCCACATGTGACCCCAAAGGCATCTATAGGCAGAACACCTTCAATGGTGAGGACAAGAGTATGTAGTGAACACTGCTTCATTTGTTTCTAATTTATTAATTTCTAATCACCTAGTGGGATAAGGCTTCTTGTTGTTGTTGTTAATTTCTAATCATCCATCCTTGGGGATCACAGCAGTGTAAACCTTTTTTATGATCTGCTTTATGCTCTGGTCTATAATTTTGACTGTCATTAACCCATCGGTATCTTCATAAAAGCTTCTGGTGAAATCCTTAAAATTCTTGCACATATTTCTCGATTCACTGTTTATTAGATCCTCACATTCAGAGAATATTGTGAGGTTTAAACGCAGTGATATAGAAATCAGAGCTAATTGGAGATTTATGATCAGGAGGTGATCATTTAGAAAAATTCCTGTAGAAGGCTCACTCTGACATATAAAGGTGTGACTCTCCACTGCTCGTTTGGTGCTTCTGTGCTTGATCATTTCTAACAATAAAAACTAGTGTTCATGTGCTATCTTTTCTTGTTAATTTATTTTTCTCCTTTTTAATTAGTCATCTGTTCCTGTATTCTTGGCATCCAGCTCCAGCTTGTTCTATCATCTTGTTCAGCTTCCGATTTACTCACTTTATCTCTCCTCCTTATTCTTCTTCTTCTTGCTATGTTATTTATCTCCCATTTAGCACATATAGCAGTTTAGAATTTCTTTTCTATCTTCATTTTCTCTTCTGCTATGAGACGTGTGACTTTTCTTGCTTTCAGCTTTGCTTGTTGCAGATTTATATGCTTGATTCCTTCAATCATCTATATGTTTATCATGCATTTTTTTTATCGTCTTTTTGTTTTGTATTTCTAGAGAGAATAAAAAGTTCTATTCAATAAGCGTTTTGGTCAGACTAGGCTCAAACAATGCAAGGCTTCTTAAGTTATTGAGATTTTTCTTGCTGAAATACAACCTCTGCTACTATGAAGGATGAGCATTTGCCCAATTATTTGCTCCGTTCAGCATAGCTGTAATGATCAGTGTACTGTTTAGCCTCTAGCCAGTAGCCACAACACAAATTCGAAGAAAAACAAATTACAAAACTGTTCAGCTAATTATTAGAGGAAATTAACTTTATAATTTTATGCACTACGAAGAGGCCCAGTTATATTTACATTATATGTCTGCATCTCAACTGCAAGATCATGGTTACCATGGTTATGCGCTTCTATAGTTGGTGAAGGCACATCATCTGGTTCTCTCTTTGGTTTAACCCATCTTCCATGATCATTACAAACCAACCCTTTATTGGCCAATTGGTACCAACAATGTGGGATACGGAGCTCATCAACTATCATATCACATGCCTTGTTTACCAAAGCCACATCCCTTCTAGCTTCAAGCCTAAATGGCACTTTGGAGCTCAAGTACCCATCCACGAGATGGAGGTATGTCTCTAAGCCATGAAACCCTGAGAAGTTCATCCCTTTCTTTAAATAAGGAGATGAACGAGCATCAAGCTTCAATTCAGTCCCAACGTGAGTATAAATCCATTCCAATGTTCCTGTAATTTCGTCAAAAATCTGAAGTGCCTCATTGAAAACTAGCCCTGGCATTCTTGGCACCAAGTCTTGTTTCGTAACAATTCTTAGGGTTTTCACCCCTAAATTATCCAGTTCATCTTTGAATGCAAGATTCCCAACCCTTGGTGCTCCAAAGGAAATTACAGTTATAGGAAGATCAGGAATGGTGGATCCTGCTTCATGTGCATTGAGTAAAGCCAATGCTCCTCCCAAGCTATGCCCCGTGATTGTGAGACTCACTTCTTCACCTTTTTCCTCGTAGGAGTTCACTAACATTATCACTTCCCTCATAACTTGTTCTGAGGCACTTGACTTGTTGTACCTCGTGGAATCACTTTTGGAAGTATAAATGCTTAAAAACCCATGTTCCACCTTGGCTTCCCCTTGTCCTATTGGGTCCAACTTGCTTTGAAAGTCCTCAAACCACTCGCACGGTACTACAGTGCCACGCCATGCCACCAAAATGTCCCTCCTCCCGATCCTTCGTGTCTCCTCATCATCACTAACTGCCACGTAGCCCATCCAATTTGAGTCCCGACTCCATGTGTCTGCCACATGCGACCTTTCAATCCAATGTGGCAGTTCAATGTGTGACATGGCATATATGTATTTTGTTGCTTTATACCGATGTCTTGTAAGGCCCATCTTGGCAAACAACTTGTTCTTATTGTATCGGCAGCTTCCGCAGTACTCAGAGAAGGCATCATGGTCAAAGGCGTCGTAAGTTGCTTGTGCGAACTCACCATACTTGATTATTTCCCTACGTAGCCATGGATGAAGTGGGTCTAAGAGGTCCTCCCAATCAGAGAAGCCTTGGATTTCCCTCCATTTTTGGGATATGTCTTCCTTGGGAGACATGGCTGGAGTTGAAAGCTTTTGTTCATGGTCTCTCGGCAAGTGCCAAGTGAAGTTGTGGACACCGGCGTGTGAAGAAGAAGGCGGTTCAACGTGCAGGTGAAGGAGATGGGATAGTGATTCAGCCCAACGAGTAGCTCTACTGGCGGTTTTGGCTTGTGGGTGATCATGAACCACCTCTTGTATGGCCGGAGCTGCGTTTAACTGGCTTAATCTGGGCTGGCGGGTGGCCGGAAGGTGAGTGTGAGTCATGGTGGAAAGCGCCATAGGTGGCGTTTCTGATGCTTAAATGGTTGGGAATTTGGTGACAGATTCTGAAGAGTATGGTAGTTCGACAGAGGGATAGATGTGATAAAAGTATGTATGGTTCTATATATATAAATACACGTGAAGATTAAATAATTATTTAAATTTTTGGAAGTTTTCTATGTCACGCGGAGTCATGTGTGAATAAAATATTTGAAAGGAAGGGATCGGGTCTTTAATGAATAAATAAAACAGTAATACTTCAAGTGGAACTTACATTTATGAGAGAACTGAATTTGGCAATACTCCTGTCATTTATTTAAGGCAAAGTTTGAGTTTTTTTTTTTAATTCTTCATATAAGAAAAAGTTAAAAGTAATGTTTTTTTTTTAAATTTCACTCTTTATTTATTTATTATTATTTGAATTCCTAGTCAACAAGTTATTATAATTATTAATTACCAAAAAAAATGAAAAGTTATATATATATATATATATATATTTTAATAATGTTAATAGACGTATAGTTGGTTAGGTTTGTTTTACAAGGATAGGCGGGGTGTAGCTTCTCTATAGTTGATAATATATATTCATATATATCGGAATTGAGCGGTTTCAATTTTCATTTGATTATTCATCTCTATTTTTATTTATAACTATTTTTATAATTAAAAGTTTTGGTAAATTGTGTAATAAGGTTTATTGGGATCACTATATTTCTAAGTTCCAAGTGTACATTTAAAAATATTTTAAGATCATCTGTTAAAAAGTCTTCACATGAACAGTGAAAACTCAAGATCAAGTAAGTCTGAGTCAAAATTTTACTAGTTGGGCAAATTTTTATTACTTTTATTGACTTTATTTATAACTATTTTCGTCGCGTGTGTGGAAATATTATGATTCAATTATGTACCCTTATTTCCAAATCATATTGAATCGTTCATCTAACTTTTTCACAAGTTTTGCTCGTTACAGAAATACGTGCCAGCGCGAGTCTCTTTGACTTTCAACACGCACTTAGTTTTGTTGCTTTCATATTCAGAAGCGTATGCTTTCGAAGTTGGTCAAAAAAGGAAGAAAAAAAAAAAAGGCTTTCGAATGTTCATTCACGGTAAGTAATTTCCTGCAATTAGCATTTACAAAATTTCAGACCAAATTAACATTTAATAATCACTATAATAATACTAAAATCACCGAGGGAGGCAGGATTTTAGGTCAAGAGAGATAATAATGAAGCTAAGATCTTTGGTAAAAAAAAAAACAATTCTATCTCTTTTAAATTAACTATTTTTCTTCTTCTTTTTTTTTGTTCTCTATCTAACTATCAATTATAGATTCGTAAATATAACGAGCTAGTAAAAAATATTCAGCTAATTTATTCTTGAATTTTAAATCTTTATTATTTATCATTTTCTTTTTTCTAACTAGTCCTTGAATAGCATTCAAGGCAAGTAATGAGTCTATTTAATCATATTAAATTTTTTTATTTTTTAAATAATTAATAAATAATATTAGTATTTAGGTATAGTAAAATCATGAGCTAATATTTATGAGATTAAGTTAAAAATTTAAATAAATATGAGCTAAAAAAAGTAAGATTAAAATAAATTTAAAATTTAAAATATGAAAATAAAGGAATATAAAGTATGACAAGTAAAAGGTATAAATTATAAAATATAAAATCCTATACTTTCAAACATATTATTTTTCTCAAGTGAGAGGGACATATGCTTCCCATCAGTAACATGTGGCTCCACCCCTGACTAAGATGCTAATTAAAAAATTGGTAAATTCCGAGTGAGCAACAACCACAAGACATAGTCTTGCGAGCCAGTTCAAAGTCTAGGTTTTATGTCTCTTGTTTCCCATTCAAAGTCAATTTTTTTAATCAACGAAAGTCGTCATCTAGGTTTGATTTAACTTGCGTATAAGGCCCACTCAATTGGCATATTTGCTGAAACTATACCCCATCTCGATTGAAAATATTAATAATTTAGTGCATGTATTTTTTTTTTTTCATTTTACTTCTTATATTTATTCACCTAAATATTTACATAAATATGTTTCACACTTATCATAGAATATATTGATAATTGAAATTAGGAGAAAAAGGAAAAATAATTATTTTTATGAGATTAATAACTTTGTTGGTATGCAAATTTTTTCAAAAAACTGCTCATATTTTTAGATAGGATAGAGTAGTTAAGATGCCTCTTTTTACTTTAATTATCTTAATTATTCCTTTAAAAGGTTTGATTGTCTTCTCAAACATGCAAAAAGTTACTCTTTCCATTCATAAGGTGTTTTTTATAAGCTTATTTTATCCTTAAATATAAGGAGTGGCATAATATTTTTAAGTGATTAGATAATTTTGCCCTTATGTTGAAAAATGAAGGAGATATTAATTACTCTCTCGATTCTCTTTATGAGTTATTTTTACTAACCTCATCAATACCAAACATAACTTTCAAGTAAAAAGCAAAAAATAAGTTAATCATATATTTTTTTATCTTTCTCTCTCTTACTTTTTAATGATAGTTTGGAAATTTTAATTTAAAATAAAATAATTCCATTAACTAATAACTTATAAAGTGAGCTAGATTATGCTTTTAAATTGTGACTAATATATAAGATTGAAGGAGTATATGATTTACCTGCCACTACCATGATAAATTGTGAGTAAACTGAAAAATCATTGCAAATTTATGTGATTTCAAATAAGAGTCCATTTGTTTAAGATTAAAAAATAAATTATTTTTAGATAGTTTGAAAATTTTATAAAAGAGATTTATTTTCTAGATATTTTATAAAAATTAAACATTGTTTCATATTCGGCTACAATAATAATAAAAATTATTAGTTAGTTATTTTTAAATTTTATGATATCTTCTTTATTTTTATATTATAAAAATAATTCATTATTTAATTATTTAAAATTTATGATATCTTGATTTTTTAAAATATTTTCCCTCATCTACAGTATCAAATTTTTTGTCTTGTTATTTAATTAAAAATATGGTTTCTTTTAGATTTTGATTATTTTAAAAAATTTAAACAAACATATTAAAAATTCACAAAATGTATTTTTTTAAAAATAAGTGATTTTCTTATAAAACAAGCTGAAATAAATAGACTCTAAATAATAAAATTTTATCGACATATGAAATTTAATTAAAAATATTTTATGTATAACAATATGAGAGTAAATTATACTATTAAAAAGTAGTACTTCTTTATCGAGAATTATACACACACTCATTTCTATGCATGATAAAGGTGGGTATCACTTATATTTGGTATGGAATATCATCCATCTATTTTAGAATCCATTTATTTAAAATTAAAAATAAATAATATTTCGATAGGTAAAAAATTTTATGAAAAGAAGAAATTGTTTTGTATTTGATTATAAAAAATTAATTATTATTTAAAAATTTTGCTGTTTTATAATATTTTCACACACACACATTTGTTCTTAAATGTTTATTGTATATCTGGATATATATTCATAATTTTATGAACTTTTTTATTTATCACATCAGATTTTTTTTATAAGTTATTCTTAAAAAAATTATAAATCTATGTTTTTTAAAAAAATTTATTATTTTTAAAAACTTAAACAAATATTATAAATATCACAAAATCTATTTTTAAAAAAATTAAGTAATTTTCATGAAAAAACCCTTAAACAAATGGTCCCTACATTATAATATGAATAAAAATGCTACAGCTTATGTATTTGGATTTTATGGGGCCATAATCTATTAGGATTTTTAATTTTAACCATTACTTTTAAAGCACACTTTACGCGAACCATACTAGGAGGAGTTTCATCACATCTTGTCTTGGTGTGCACTGCTACTACACCTTCCTATGAACCTTCATTTCAACTAGAAACCCGAAAAAAAAAACAGAAAAAAAAAAAGAATCACGTTGTGCATTAATTATGCTATATCTTCACAATATTTTTAACTTCATAGTGTAACAATAACACAATTAAAACATAAGGCTCTTACCAAAAAAATAAAAAACATAAGCCATCATGATGTTTTAAGAGATGCAATTCATATTTACTTTATAAAAACCAGCAAAATTAACAGGCATCATAGTTTTTGTGGTACTACAATATTTCAACTAATAAACGCTAGTTTTAATAAAAGAGATTATCGTCGCCTAAGCCTCCAAATGTCCAATGGTTAATTATAAATATATAAGAATTCATCTAAAATAAAATTTTTAATGTTAATTTCACTTACTTCATGAAATTCAAGAAAAAAAAATAGATTTTCCGAATGCAAACCTACCTAAAGCAGAAAAAAACCTAACCAATTTTAGTCAGAGCCACATGTGAATTTTCATTTTGTTTTTTTATTTGATAAACAATTACATGATTTACATTTCTAAAAGTGAGAAAATAAAAATAATAAAACTAAATTCATATATATTTTATATTTTTTCCCTTTTAAGTGCACAATGCATCATTACCTAACATCACAAGATTGAACGACATTTTTTTTTAATATAAAAACAAATATAATGTTAAAACGACACGCACGAATGGGGAGCATTTTCTGTAATGATGATGAAACATGAGGAATTCAGAAAGCAATATAATTCATTCACCAAAGAAAGAAGAAGAAGAAGCAATCGTGTTCAAATTTTCATCTTCTAAAATTTTTGACAAAATTTAATTTGAGTTATCTGAACCATGAAGAATTTCTTTTGCACCGTATGGAACATATTTAGATTTGATCAACTTTATTTTGTCAAACCAGCTAGTCATCATGCCTTTTTAAATTTTTTGAGCCATAGATCTTATGGATTTAAGTTTATTATGAATTAAATATTTTGCAGTCACAATCGGGATTGTGTTTTTTAATAACAAAATTTAATTCTTTTGGAGGTTGTGAGAGGCTTCAACATCAAAAGTTTAACACTTCTTCTTCTTCTTTTTTAAAAAAGCTTACCCCTTATAAATAAAATTAAGAAGTGATTCTTCTGGAGTAAGCTTAGAGCCTTTTTGAATTTCAGTTAGATATAATTAATTATAAAAAAATTAATTAATATAATTATTTTTAATTATAACTGATTATGTTATAACGTAATTTATTTGGATATTATTTTTTAAAAAATTAATTTTAAAAAATTTGAAGATGTTTAGATGATTTAATAAGAATTAATTTTAACTGTATAAATTACTATAAAAACATTACTTTTTAAAATTAAATTATTGATATACTTGTATCTATCATTATTAAATTTGTTAAATTTATTTAAGAAGTAAAATATATTATTTAAATTACATATTTGATTAATTATAAAAATTTAAATTTTATTAATATTAATAATTTAATTTACATAAATAAATAACTCAATATATTTTAATTCAAATAAATTTAATAAAAGAGAAAGATTTAATTTTTAACTATCAAATATTAATTTTATAATAGCTAATGAAGATGATAATATATAAATTAATCTCTAATAACATTATGAATATGAGCCATATCTGATGAAGATGTTAGGCACTACCTTGAAATTTTGACAACATAAAAAATGTAGCAATGTAATAAATGATCCAAAATTTCTCTCTAAACCTTTATAAAAATCTTTGTAAGTATTCTAAATTTTAAATTAAATTAAATTAATTTTTCTCTATCAATTAATATTTTATTTAAATTAATATTTTATTCTCTTCCCTTCTGTTTCCAGAAGCTCACAGAGTCAACTTAACCAAAAAAAAAAAAACTGATTTTTCTCCCAACAATCCATTACCTATTTAAATTGATGTTTGGGGGTTTTTTTTTTTTGAAAATCGATTTTTTTTACTAATCCAAACACGCAGTCAATGTCTTAAACCTCAAAGTCAACTTTTTCAGGACATTTTTTTGTGGTGAACAATTATTTTAAGAAAAAAAGGTCTCTGAAAAAACGCATATAATAATCAATTATGAAAAACTGTTGACTCGCGGATCTCTCTGCTTGCTTGTCACTCAAAAATAGGACCAAGTAACGTCCAGAAACCGAGTCATGTGGAAAGTAATTAAGATATATATGTGCGTGTGTCTTTCCAAAAAAAAAAAAAACATTTCCTCAACAATAAATAAATAAAAAATAATTGAATGTAGCAACTTTTTGGAGGAAGCTTGAGTAGAACCTCTTGGACTTCATTTTTTTTTTGTCACAGTCGTGTACATTTTTATTATTTAATTAATAATATTCGTACAAAAATTTTAAAAATTCAATCATGTAATATTATATTACAAAAACTTTAAAATAATATGATCAGTGAAACTAAAATCCAATATTTTCATAATTGGACCAAATATTAAATCAAAAAGGCTAACAGATCACGGTTCATATGATCAAATCGGGTTAGACTAATAGTCAAACATGTAATAATTAAATAAAAATAATATTATATATATATATATATATATATATAAAATAAAGATAAGAAAAAAATCTATAGTATGTTAATAAAATGATATAACATAACAATAAATTAATAATAAATTATAATTTTATAACTTGTCAAATATAGGTGAACTTTAATTAATTTAAATATAAGTAAATTTAAAAATATTTGTATTTACATCTATAATTATCAATATCTCTATAAAAATGATCTCAAATTATATTTTATATATGTAAATTTTTCAAAAATAAAGTTATCATTTAGTAGGATTTAATTTATGAATTTTTATAGTTTTTTTTATTTTTAAGCCGTTTTTTTAATATTATGTTTAAAATCATCCGATTTTTTAAAAATTACTTCAGTTATCGATTCAACTTTAATTTCTGACTCAATAACAACTTAACTCCGATCCAATCCAATTCAATTATAAAAATAATTTTTTAATTCAAATTGAGTAATTAACAATTTCAATCACATGTCCGACTGTCTAATTCAGTCTAATTTTTTAATTATTACTAAAATCTTTTCATATGATATAATTACTGTTGAATTTTGTTTGTCCATGCTGCTGGGTTATATGTAATAAATGTTAAGAGTTAACATTCTCCCATTCTCAAGTCTGTGATGCTTTTCGGAGCCCTACTTAGCTTTCGTATATGGCTAGATGTCCTGCCACTAGACAGAAAACGAGTCAAGGGGAAGAGCCTGTAAAGTTGTAATTTTCTCTTTGCTTGGGCAGACGCCACAAGACAAACTCACAAAAGAGAGGCTCCAAGATAATCGCATAAAAGTTTAAAAGAAAAAAAATAGCACAAAAGAAAAAACAGAGGGAAAAAAAAAACGTTAGACACGTAAGGCTTGTTGATTGGCCAATCCCAATTGACATTGTAAAGCTGGAAGCAAGGGAAATTGAGGATTATTATTGTTGTGTTTTATTATTATTATTGTTAAAATTATTATTATATGTTATATGAGATATTAAGCCTTAGATTTAAGTGAATGAATTAAGGATTAGTGCATTTTTAATTAAATTATATTATTTTATAAAGACCGGTCTGATTTCAGGTTGACCTCCAATTCTACCTTGGTTGAACTTTTGACTCCTAATATTGATCAATTCAATAATCAATCTGGTTTTCAATACCTTGCATAAAACATCAAGCATAAAATTTTCTTGTCAGCAATTTTGCACTGTCAAATTACCAGAGACAACCAACATGCTTATTTGAACGAGTACAGCATGACAACAACGCTTTGTCTATGAAAAAAAAGCATGAAAATATATCAAAAACGGGCACCTATATATATGTGGACAGTTGATAATAAATCATAACACTGTTTTATCTTTTTAGACTAGCATATGAATGGCAGAACATATAATTAAGATTGTCAGAACTCAACTGAGAACTAACAGCCACAAGAACATTGAACACGAGAAACTCAGCTGTCAACATGCAAAACTTAAGAGAAGAGAAAGTTCAAGAGAGTTAAACGTGTTAGAAAACCAACCCGGCGCAAATGATGAGTCAATTCCCAGCAGAAAGAGGCAGCAAAACTCCCAAAGGAACAGATAATCTGCTCCGTGAAGAACCTTCGCACTGTGATGCTGCTCTTCAATGGATGTGGAAGAAACTCCACCAAATTAGTAAAAAATATATAAGGCACAAAGCTTTTACTAATTTTGAAACTCAGAATTTAACACACATAAACTCCAGTTCGCATTCTTTTAATCCTAAGTCGAGCAGTCCATCTTCTAAACTCGCAGCATTAACTTCTTGCAGCCTTTTTTGAGTGAAAATATTAATAAGAACACAAAGCTACAACCAAGGGGAACAAAGAAAAGAGAGACAAAATTTACAGGAAAAAAACATCAGTCATTTTCCCCAAACCTATCATTGACGCTCATAGATATGACAAACACTATTCAAGTTAAAAGCACAAATAGCCTAAGCTTCCACTTCTTTCATATCCTCCCTATATACAAAGCCTAATTTGCAACGTTCCAATTCTGGCTCAAGAGGTGCCTCGCGTCTTCAACGATATCAAAACAAGGGTGTCTACTAAGATAGTCTCTAGCAACCATGCTGATAGTAGTTGCTCATCCTATCTTAGGCTGGAAATCTGAGCCTCTTTTCCCAGCAGAGTTGAAGTCCACGCTGGATAGCTTCAATCTTGGTGATCATTGGAGGTAAAGGGACACTTTTACCACAAATGCCCACCATCCATCTAGCTTCCCCATTTTTCAAACTTCCACCGCATAAGCAAATTTTTTCATGAAATGACCATAATGCTCCTAAAGATAAAGGACGACTTCAAAGTAGCAAATAACTACTTTCATTAATGTCATATATGAGCAAATACAGCTTTTCAAGGTAAATTTTTTGTGAACAATCTCTGAGCCTCTCTTTTCGCATTCCACTCAAACCAACTAATACCTTGTGAACTGCAGAACTGCTCCCACAGTTCCGGTGAGACAATCTTCTTCGATCTCTCTTTAACATGATGAATCCTGAACTAAATGAATGATGTCCTCCTCTTCTCCACAACCCCAAGGGCTTCGGACAATTTCAAGAGGTTGAAAGAATTTCTCACAGCAAGCACCGTGCTTCTCTATCCATCACTCTAATCCAAGAATAGTGGCTTAGAAGCACTTACAGTGTTGCATGTTAGAAAAACTGAATTCAAGATCAGAAGAGTCTCACGCCTCTGGACTTAAAACCAGAGGTGAGGATCAAGAAAAGAATCTATTCTTGGGAATGGAAGTGCAATCCATTCAACAAAATCTTGTATGTCTTATCATTCATTGAAATGTCTCTCTTCCTCCATTCATCGAGTAATTCTAAGGCCTCATTGCCTCTCCCTTCTCGACATAATCCTTCCAAAACAGTCTTGTAAGTCAAATGATCAGGGGACCTAGAATTACCCAACATGTCAAACACAATCTCAATAGCATCCTCAAACCTCCTCTCCAAAGCAAGACTACAAATGATTATCATATACGTACTGGTGCTTGGCACCAAACACTTGCTTCTCATTTCCTTAAAAAACCCTAAGCCTTGATTCACCCTCCCTTTCTCACACAGACCCTTTGCAATATAACCATAAGTATAAGCATTAGGCTCGCACCCATATAATCCCATTTCACGGAAAACCCTGATGGCCTCGTCAACTTCCAAACACTTCGCATAAGCTTTTATGATCATATTCAACACAAAAGTGTCGGGAATAACCCCAGACGCCTTCATCTGCCTGGTCATTGATCTAACGGCATGTAAATACACATAACACACATTCAATTTATTAAACCTCCTGAGAAGCGAATTGAGCAACAAAGAGTAAGTTTCGAGTGTGGGCTTACAATCCTCGGACTTCAACATTTTCTTGTACACATCGAATGCGCGATTAAAAAGGAACTTCCGACCACAACAGAATCTAATAATAGAGTTGTATAAAGGAACACTCGCACCACAAGCACCGGCAATTACCTCCTCAACCAGGGTTTCTGCGTGTCGATACCGCCTACCTGCGATGAGTTGCTTGATCATCGTGAGATACGTGACATTGGTATGCTTATACCCGCGTTGCTGGGCAGTCCACCGGAAGATGTCGAGCGCGAGATCAACGTCCGATTGAGCACGCAAGGCTTCGTCGACATCAGAAGGAGTAAATCCGGGTTTGAGCTTCTGAACCCATGTCTCGAATTGCTTCTCCAATGGTGTTCTGGTACGAGGGTTAGGGTTTGTGAATCGGGGTTCGAGGTTTTGATCTTGCTGGGGCGAGGAGGAAACTGAGCGAGCACACAGGAACGAGCATGCTAGAGAACGAGAAGGTTGTGGGTATAGGAGACGAGGGGAAGAAGAAGCAGATAGGATGTGGAAGCTTCTGGAAATGGAAGAAAGAAAGCGTTTCGAAGGCACATGCATAGTTTCTTCCACAAAAGAGACGAAGTAGCAGAAGCAGCTGGCTATCAAATGAGCTGAGACCAGTCGGAAATCGAATCTCTATTACCACATACGGTGCTTCCTCTCTGCATCCGGATCAAAAACGACGTCACGTGGAATCAATGTATTAAGTTTAGCAGTATTTAAAGGTCTAATTTCAGATCATTCATGTAGCAATTAAATGATATTAAAAAAAAGCAGCAAAGAGAAATGGAAAATCGAAGAAGCCATTAGTTGGTATAAAAAGATGAAGCAAAAGCAAGAGAAAAATCAAAGACAGAGTTAGATGGTATCAAATCAGATCAATTCAAATTTCAATTCGGAAGAAAAGATCAGTTCAGATATCCAGAACAAGCTATTCAGCATTCGGGGTTAACTTAACCGCACCTACCACCTGCATATTTCGATTGAAGAATCAAATCTTCAACGTCAAGTTCCGAACCAAGATCTAAGCCTCAGCCTCAAATGCAGCCTTCATGCACCGTCGTCGAAGTCGAACCCACGCCTCTGCTCATCCTCCGTCGAAGGCTTCCGTTCGTCGGCCATCGAGGAGAGGATGAGTGCTTGATTTCGTGGGGTTGAAGACAACGGTTAGGATTGAAGATTCTCATTCAACGATTCAGATTTGGATTTGGATTATATTAGCTAAACGGTGCGTTCTATATCAGGTTCCAGCCGACTAGGCGGTTGCCTCAATTTGACCGTGGTGATTACCAAAGTTAATAAATTTAGAGAAAATTAATATTCTAATTTTAACTCATTTACAGTCTCTTCCCATACCACTCAGCCTCTAAATTTTTAATTCACTTAAAATTTGGTCTCTAATTTTTTAACCATTTGTAATTTTGTCTTCTCACCATCACTCATTCTACATAGCACAATTTTTTCTTAAATCAGTTAAAATTGCTCCTGTGGCTTTCACCTCAACTATTTGTGGATTTTATAAAAATTTCCCCGGGGGGTGGTGGAGCTGTTTCCAACATTGACTTCAAATAAAAAAGTTGACAAAAAAAGGTAAAAATGTTTTGTTTTGATAATGTCAAGGGCAAAATTGTTTCAACAAGATGCTAGTAAAATTTTTATAAAAAATTATGATATGATCCTATGTGACAACTTAGTTAACATCCAAGATGTCATCCTATTTGGCAATCTAGTTTTAGATTACAGTATATGTGACAACAAAGTTCTAGGTGGCATCCTGCATCATCTAGTTACCCAAAGTCATGCCATTCAAGTAGAAGAAATATAACATCTTAAAAATTTTAAGACTCAAATTTATTTTAAAAAATAAAATAAAATATCTATAATTAAATTAAAATTAGAATAATTTAATAGAGGCCCAGAGTTTGAGTTTTACTAAGTAAAAGTTTGGTTTTATTTAATTTTTAACTATGAGAAAAATTACCAAAGTGACCCGGGCTTTTGTGCAATAATAAAAAATATTGGGCCATTTATTGTAATTGTCCCCAAACTTTTGGACTAGCTTTTATAAAGAGAAAACAGACGTAGAAATGTAGAGAAAGGAAACGCACGAGAGGGAGAGAGGAAGAAGAGAAGATAAAGGGAGGGAGTTAGGCTTGAATCTAGGAGTCTTTGCAATCGTTGCGAGCTCGGTTACATGATAGGTAAACTCCCTACTTCAATCCTCTTCTCGTTCTCTTGATTTTCTTCAATTTTTGGAAGAGGAGATTTTTGAATTTTGATTCCAAAGGCTTTATTCTTGTAAGCTTTTGTTTCTTTGGATCCTAGGAAGCATGTTTTAAGTTTCTATATAGTGATCTAATGTTTTGAGTGGATAATTGGATGAAAAGAGGTGTTTTGGGCACAAAATAAATCCTAAGAAATTGGGTTTTTGCTCTTCAATGGTTTAAGCTTATTGATTTAGTTATAATTTTGCTATTTAAGCCCAATAAGATTTAAATTAAGGTTTAGTTTTTATTATAAGGGCTAATGGTGAAAGTTGGTGGCACTAAGTAAAGGTTTTTAATTGATTAAAAATTATATAAATTGGAAATTTAACCTAGTGATGGCTAATAAATGGTTTTGGTGGTTAAGTGATACTATGTGAATGGTTGGTTAAATATATGGACCATTGGGATGGATTATGGCTTATAGATCCAAGTTGTGTGGTATGAGTTATAGTCTTCATTAATGCTATTTGACATGATAAGTGATGTGGATCACTTATACATTATAGGAATTATTGATGGAATTTGTTCGAAAGTTAAGGAATAAGCCAAGTTCTATTTTGTACAAAAGGAACCCTTTTGGTACCAAAGGGTCGAGGTAACAGGGGAAATTTATATTTTTTATTACTCTGTTTTAGCTATTTTTGAATAAATATTACTAGCTATCATGCATTACATGTTTTAAAAGATTAAATGTGCTTTATAAGGGATTATGGGGTACTAATTTGATTATAGTGCAAATATGTTTTCTAATTATTTAATAACAATGTTTTTATGGAAACGTGATTTGTTTACATCTATTTTAATCATAAGGAATAAAAGTTGCACTTAAGGAAGTGTAACTAAGTAAGGTACCTTAGATAGGCTAAGGAATCGTTTAAGGGAGATTTATAAATGTTATACTACCTTAGAGTGTTGAATTGGTCAATACTCGGGAAAGGTAGACAAGAGTAAAAAGCATGATCTCGATGGGAGTTCACCAATGAGAAGGTGTGAATTTTTGATATTCTATGACACACTGTCAGTACTCAGTGTTGTCTTACGTATTATGGGCTCAGTGCACTAAAGTGGTTAGTGTATTGAGTGTTCGACACAAGGTACGTAAAACCGGACCGGTCATTAAACCGGTCATAGTACTGGGTCACGGGTTAGTGGTTCAATCAGGGTTGAACCGGAGGTTGAACCGGTGGCAAACCGGTCATGATTAAAATAATACAATTTAAATAAAAAGACATTAATTATAAAAACATTCAACCAAATCCAACCACTCAAAAGTCTAACAATAATAAAATACTATATTTTTAGACTTAGCATGCTCTATCTCTAATTTTTTATTTTTTGACTTCAATTTTACTTTTTTTTGTTATTTTTTTCCGAACTCAGAGCTCTGAAAAATTAAAAATGAAAAAAAAAATCAAAAACGACGTCGTTTTGGGGTAAAAGTCTGAAAAAATATTAACCCGGTTAACCCAGTCAACCCACCGGGTTATCCGGGTTATACCGGGTTGAACCCGGGTTGACCGGGTTACACCGGTTCACTCCCTCACCGGGTTAAGTGCAAACCCAGACCGGACAGGGGACCGGTTCACCGGTTTCCGGGTTGACCCGGCCGGTCCGGTCCGGTTTTCAATACCATGGTTCGACACCTCTCAGTGGGGGAGGGAATCTGACATATGAAGTGTGAGGTTGAGTGCCTAGGCTAAGATAGCCCTCACATGGAGAGTAAATCAAGCTGGCTCTGGGAGGGAGTTAGCTTTGACTGCTCAGGATTCACGTCGAAGGGGCATAGGCAGTTCGGTGGATTAGATCATGTCTTAGATTATGTTTTGTGCCTGTGGAGGTACAAGTAGGTATAAGGTTTACCTGCGAGTTAAAGAGTGTCAGGGGGCATTCTGTTGGTCATGAAAGGCCATACCGGCCTAGGTCATGCATTCATACATTTTAAATGGCTAGATTATATACTATGTTGAATTTATTATTCGTTTATTTGATTATGGCTTACTTTGTAATAATCAATGTAGATTTCTCTGTTATTGAGACTATGGTTGTCTCACCCCTTTCTTTTCAATATTCTAGGTCCAGGTGAAGGATCCAGTGGTGGACGGGAAAAGGAGCAAAGCTAGGGGTTTGCTTGTGATTTGTAAAGAACTGCAACCCCTTTCTTTTGAGCAAATATATTGTAATGTATTTAGAATTAGGGTGCTAGTAGGATATGATTATGTATGTGTGTTTGAATATGTGTGGATTGTGTGCTTGTGTATGAATTTTTGTTTGTTTACAGACTTGTGGCTAAGAAACTTGGTTATGGTGTGTGGTTTTGATGGATTTACTTAGTAGACCAAGTTTCTATTACAAATAGATATTTATTTTGATATATATATATATATATATATATGATTATACAAGCAAATACAAAGTGGTTGCATTGCAAATGGTGTACTATGGGCAAACATATACCTTGGATAGAGAGAGTGGGTGCGTAGGCCCCACAAGGAGCTCTAAGCCAAGTGAAAATGTTTAACATATGTATTTATATAAATACATGGTATTTGGATTGATTTGTGACCACTCTTGTATGATTTATGCATTTTGGGGGTTTAGGGTCCATTTTGGGAAATGACACCTGAGTGGTCAAATTTTGATGTATGGGGGTTTTTCATCATTTGAATGTTCTATCAGGTGTTTTTAGTCTTATTTGATGTGTCCAAAATGTTCTCACATGTTTGTAACCATTAGGATGAGATTTGGACAATTTTGAAAATGGTTTTTTTTTAAAAAGCTGTACTTTTACATTTGAGTGTTCAAATCTTAATCCAACCGTTGGATTTCTCTAAAATTTGGGTCACAAGTAAAACCTTTTATAAGCTTCGTGTGAGATTTGGAATTATGTCGATTGGATATCAGATGGAGAAACGGCGCACTCCAGAATTTGGTCTGGAGGTGCTGTCACAATGCTGTCATGACAGCTACAATAATTATATCATAACCTGCACAAAATTCAATCTGTCTGTTAGATATTTTTCAAATTTGGTATGCTAATAGTATTCTTAAAAAGTGATATGTGGGCTTTGGAATCACTCCGATCGGAGGTCGGGTGATGAAATGGTACACTCCGGAAGTTGGTCCGGAAGTGCTGTCATGACAGCTTTAGCAAAAGTAACCAAATTTGTAACATGTCAAATTTTTAATCCGACCATTGGATTTTTTTGAAATTTGGTACACTTATAGTACCTTTTGAATGTAATGTGTGAGCTTTAAAATTTCTTTGATCGGAGATTGAAAGACAGAACGGTGTCTCCCTGAAGTTGATTTAGGAGAGCTGTCATGACAACAATTTAATGCTCATGACAGTATATTTTTACCCTTCTTTCGTCTAACTTGCTTCCGTGCGCTATAGGTAGAACCTATAAAAATTTTTAAAGGCTTTAAATGTTTAATTTGCAATTGTGTATTTGCTTAGTGATTTAAATGGTTTGTTTCCTAAGTTGATTTTAGGATTAATTCCTCAACCACACTTAGTTTATTTGAATTATGTGATTTTTGGATAACACTCGGGGCAAGTGTTACAAGAAAGCTCAAGCAAAGAAATTCATAATTAAAAAGCTATAACATATATGGAGAGCCCAAATCAATACATTAAAGTCCAATACATAAGTATACACCTGGAGGAGGTAAATTTGACCATAATCTTACTTTAAACCTAAACACATATTCTACGTCTTATTCTTTTTTGAGGTAAAGGTTTCAATTGAAGGGAGAAATGAGCAATATGATAAGTGAGCTAACAAAAGGCACAAAAATGTTGTCTCTGAGCCTAAAGATTAGGTTTGAGTACATCTCAGGCATGAGAGATTTCTAAGTATGAGGAAGATAAAGTTGCATCCAAAAGGCAATGAACCTTTTCAAGTGCTAGAATAAATTAATAATAATGCCTACAAGATAGATCTTCCTAGCTCATATGGAAATGTGTCAGTTATATTCAACGTTACAAACCTTTCTTTATTTGATACGTATGGTTCAAGGGCGAATCCTCTTTAAGAGAGAGTGAATGATTGGAATCAAGGGGTCAAACTTCAACATTTAGTATCTTTGATTTGTTGCAAGATATCGGAGGATTAATGACTAGATCCAAAGCTAAAAAGATAAAAGTAGCCATAAATTTATTAATCAGGGATGTTCTAAATGATCATTGAGTCATAAAGGCAATCGGAGTTTTAGAAGACCTAAAAAAAACTTTTAACATATTGGATATCACTCAAGATACTCAAGCTCATGAGTTCATTTATTTTAGTTAATATTGTTTTTTTAATTTAAGAAATTAGTTTATCTTATTTTATTTTAATATTCAAGTCTAGAAAAATTAGTTTATTTCGTTTTAAATTCAAATAAGGATAACATATATCCATTTGAATATGATTTATCCATTTGGAACCTTAGATTAACTAAGAATGTGTCATTTGAGTTCTTAGAACTCTATTTAAATAGTTTAACCCTTTTTATTTTGAGAATATTTGATTGAATTTATGAATTAATTTTTTTTTCAATTGTAAGACTTATTTGAATAGTGTTATTCTCAGTGAGATAACACATTGTAAAATTTTGAATTATTATGAGCTATCACTTAATTATTTTGTGTTAAATTGTGATGGAGGTTTAAGCATTAGATTCCACACAAGCCTCTTTCTAAATGCATGAACCCCCTTTTTTTTTTAAGAAGCACAGACACTTTTGAGTTTCACGAATAAGAAGTTATGAAAAATGTGGTCCTCTGATCGCTTCAACTTCTTTGGCATCAGTCTAAAAGCAGTGAGTTTTTTAAGCTCAAGCATTTATGGGTTTTCTCGATTTCTCCTTCGATTTCCCTTTGCCACTCATGGATTTCAACAAAATCAAGCACTAAATCATAGCGCATAGACTTCCTTGACTTTTGGGTTGCTTCTTCAACTTCGTCCGCTTGGCCTTCTTCACTACCTCTACTTTCCCATTCTCTAGGTGCACAGACATTGGCTGCCCTTTGTGCTTCAAGAATTCTCTAGCGTCGATCCTCCAATTGTTACTCGAATGATTGGAAAACATAATAAATGCCAGAGTTGCAAGTGGGCTTCGACATTTGGTCTTCCTCTATTGCTTTGTGTATTGCTAAATGGGCATATTTTCAATTCAAGGAAAAAAAAGAGGGTGAATGATCACCTAAGCATGCTCATCTAGGCACAGCTAAGTCAATTAATGGTCAAACACATACATTTATTAAAATTGTACGATATTGTTATGTTTTAAAAAAGTCAGACAAAATATTACACTTTTTAAAAGTTAAGAATATCAATTGTGACTTATAAAAAACATTTAGGGGTAAATACAAATTTTAGCTCAATTTATTAAACACAATAAAATAATTTCAAGCAAAATTATGAAAAAAATAGTTAAGCTATCCTCTCATGCCAATAAAACTAAAAAAAAAAAAAAGCATGGCAACAAAATTCAACCCATATTCTTTCTGCCTCATAAATATTTTAAATTTTATTTTTTAAAAAAGGGAAGAAGAAAGTTAAATGAATTTGTTAGTTGGGCATTTAACCTACTAATATACACAATTTGAATTGGGTTGGATTTTAAGTTGATTTTTCTCTTTAATCCACATGAGCTAAACTATGACGTGATTCGGGATGGCCTATATTCTCTAATCTCACCTCTAAATTGCTCTTTTCGTGTTATTGTCATATTCTCTAATCTCACCTCTAAATTGCTCTTTTCGTGTTATTGTCACATATGTTTTGTACAGTATTTATTCTTTTATTAGTATTAAAATTATAATTGAGTGGAAGTGTGAAGCCGATGTCCATGGCTTTCTTTAAAACCCCAACAAGAGTATCGTTTCCCTCCTGAAGCTCCAAGATCAGACGCACCCCGTTTCAAACTTTGCCGAAAAATGTCATCTTCAACACCAGACATGCTCATTAAGAATCGCTTTCTGGGATTCTTAATCTGGCAATCGATCCCCTCTACCGTGGTCTACTTCTTCCTTAAAGCCTTTATCTCAACTATTGCCAATTCCATTGCTGGTACTGATACCCCCAACTTATACACGTCAAGCAGTTTCAGAAAAAGCTCGTTATTTTGGGCTTTTGTACCTTCATTCAGGGGTTTTATCTCATTCATCACATTCCATTTCTCTCAGCTCCTTTTCTCCTCCACGCTCTCCGTCATCGCTTCTCCGCATCCTGAGCGACCAGCCTCCATGTTTGAGCTTGCAACTGGGCTTATTCGCCTCCTATATGTTCCCGGAGGCGGCAGGGGGTTTCCGGCGGCTGATTCTGACGATTTTCGCCGTCGAGCAAAGGTTTCTTTGAGCTTTGTATTGTTTGTGGCAGCATCAGCAGCTTCGGGTTTCACAGCATCGGTGTCGCTTTGTGGAGTGAGAGCAATCAGAGAGCATGATGATGGGTTTTGGATGATTGGACGACTGGGTTTAAGGGGCTTCTTCGTGGGTTTACTTTTTGGGTTGCATTATGTTTATAAACGCTTGTGGGTTTTGGAGTTTCCTATTATTCAGGTCAGTCTGCGATTTTTTTTCTTACTATATGTTTGTCACAAACATTTGTTTTGTGCTATTTAAGTTTTCTGGGCAGTCTTCCTGGCCTGTTCTAAATGCACAAGTAATAATTAATGCAATGTTATCTCTTGCTTGGGGTGGAATTGATAAAACTACTTCACGACATACCCACTGTGTTACCCCTGGCTCTTAACCTAGATGGATACTGCAAATTTTAATCATGGGAAGATGATTTCTTCATAAAACACCAAAAACGTGTACGGAAGTAACGTGTTAATGGGTTGCTGGAAATATATCAGTTATAATTGTGTTATTAACATGCCATCTAGATATATCTGGGTTCTAAAAGGGAGGGCAATTGGATGTTCTCGGATGTGAATCAAATGTATAGATTTGTTCTGATGGTAGGTCATGATAATACTATTTATTTTTCTTCGTGGAAGATGCGTTAATTCAGTTGACTTGAAGCAAAATGTGTCTAATAAACCATTGCTGCCATCGGCATCTTTGTTTCTTCCTAAGCAATGCTTTTTTTCAGTCTGGTCTAACTTATATTTGGTCTGTAACTGCTCTTCCCATATTCTGGGGCTTTGCTGTTCGATTTTCTAGTTTGTTCTATATTCAAGACTGTAACATGTCCTTACTTCCACTGTGATGTGCATTCACTCCAAGAAGTTCTCTATTTTCTGAACAGTCTTCTAGGGGCTTTTTCACTATTTCCCTAACAAGGTTACGCTATCAAGCTCCACTTGTTTTTTCTGAACTATACTGATTTCCATAAATTATGGAATTTACATTTGTGCATGAAAAAATTGATTTATTACCTTTTCTTCTCGGTAATCATAAGCGCCAACTTCAATTGCTTGCATGAGCAGCGTCTTCCTTACTTCAGCTTCAAAATGGGACTTCCTTCAGCTGCTAGACAAGCTTTGAAGCTTTCCTTTGTGGCTTTCATATTTTCAACTACTTTGGTTGAGTTTCTTCCACATCCATTGAAGACCAGCATCACAATGCGAAGGTTTTTCATGGAGCAGATTATCTGTTTCATTGGGAGCTTTGCTGTCCTTATCTGCTGGGAATTGACTCATCATTTGCACCGGGTTGGTTTTCTAACATGCTTAACTTCGTTGAACTTTCACTGCTCTTAAGTTTTGCATATTGACAGCTGAGTTTCTCATGTTCAACATTCTTATGGTTGTTAGTTCTCAGTTGAGTTTTGACAATCTTAATAATATGTTCTGCCATTCATATGCTAATCCAAAAAATAGAACAGTGTTATGATGTATTATCAACTGTCACATATATGTAGGCGCATGTTTTTCTTATATTTCCATGCTTTTTTTAGACAAAACGTTGTTGTCCAGCTGTGCTCGTTCAAATAAGCATGTTGGTTGTCTCTTGTTAGTGCACAATTGTTGAAATGAATATTTTTATGCTAGATGTTTTATTTCACAATTGTTAGATTTAATTGAGTACTTCCGTAGTTATGATAGCAAGATGACATGAAATGCAAAAATGGCATATGTATTATGAATATCTGCATGGACTAATAGAGTACATGTACTTCTTTGGCAATGAACCCTGTATATATGATACTTTGTATTATCAATAGCAACATATACAATGATGAATATCTGGAGTTTGACATCTTTTTCCTTTTAACCCATGGACTAAACATTTGGAGGGCAATTGTTACCTACTGAATGAATTTTCTATTGATTGAATATGATATGTAGGTTTTACTGGTACTTAAAAGGTTATGTTTGCACCCCCTAAAGGGTGAAGCTTGGGCAGCAAAAACAGACTCACGACTAGATATGAAGTACTCAGAACCACTAAATAACTTAAAGGTATGGACATACTTTTGATCCTTTTATACTTTTACAATTAATTAATAGATTTCAAACTTCATTGCTTGGACCAAGTTGTGGGGATTCATGTCTTAAACTAATTTTATATTCTATTCTGTATGTAAATCATCTTACACTGATGAGAGACAAAATATGTAAGGTCTATCCATAGGCTGGAAATTCTATAACTTCAGAAGTTAGTTATCTAGAACTCTGCTAGGCTTCTGACATTAGCATCACAATTGTGTTTTCAATTCCTTTAAAAGAGTGCTAAGATGGGGTATAGGAAATCCCCCAGAACAAACGTTCGAGGAGAAACAAAGAAAAGAAAATCTGTTAATGTGTGGATTCCATAAAGAAGCTAGTTGCTTTCTTGTTTTCACCATTTGAACTTTGTTTTTTTTTCGTTCAAGTGAAATTTATTGAATTGCAAATCCAGCATGGCCCACTCTGCATGAAGTGTACAAAGAAATGTGCCACTTCAGAAAGAAACAAGACATACTTAGGAACAAGATTAATGAGTTTAAAATCTGAAGAAACTCTAAGAAAAACTTACTGCAATGCAACAACTGCTGGATCAGATAATCCCAGAAAGTGTATGTAAAACGCTGGTGTTTGAAACGCCATGAAAGCTTCTCCTAGCATTTTATAGTGTTGCTTGCTCACCCGCACACATGACATATTCATTTTCTTGTACTTTTTGTTTGTACTTAAGTGATTTGCATAGTAATAGAATATATATTAAGGTTTTGTTGGAATATTTGTACAGTTTTCACAATCAAATTCATGGGTTGTCATAGATGTATGCCTCTGCTATGTATGTTCCTAGTCTTGGCTGCATATATGGACAACTGTAAAGTGTATTCATCTATAAAGATGGCATAACTAGTGTTTATGTTCACTTAGAATGTCAATTCTTGAACATGAATATTTGCAGAAACTGACTGAGCACACCTGAAATAGTTTTTCCTATAGCTCATGTTATCTTATGAATGCACGTGAAGTTAAATGAAAATAGAAAACAATGAAAGGGTCATTTTGGGTGAAAGCTTTTCAGACCCTTTTCTACAAGCGGCTGTTAGTCCTGGCTCTCCATCATCTTTTTGTGTGTGCGTGTGCTTGCGTCTTTTTATTTGACTGAAATTTAGCAGGGGAGTCAGATATGCACAGCACTCATACTCATAACTAATCATTCTGGGCCAAGAAGAAGCCAGATCTTTCTTAATGAATTGCCTTATTTATTGATTATTGATGATTGGGTTAAGGGTACTTTTAAAGCGTTGACCTGAGGTCTCGAAGTCATTCTCTGCTTTCTTATATCGTAGCATCTGATTGCAGTTCCTCTATGATGACTCTGTCCACCTTATGTTTTGGGCAAATGCTTGTACGTTGCATTGATTTGATTATAGTATATCTGTTTCCACATCTGAATCAAGATAGAAAAGCTTTGTGCTCTCAAATTCTGCTATGATTTCTATTTCCCTAAGCAGAATTTGGACTGTAAGGAGTTCTGCTTCAAGATCAACTAAGGTCAATGCAGGAGTTTGTCCCGAGAAATTCTTTCTTTTTTTGCCTTGGGTTCCACCCTGAGACCTAGTTTTCTGTAGCTTTTCAGCTTGATTGGACAATACTTGTAGACTTTGAAATGAAAAGTCATTTCAGAAGTTTGGCAATAGGCAGACAATTGTGAAGGAATTTTTTGGATGAGCTAGCATCCGTGAACAAAAAACCCCGCCAGCATGAATTCGTTTTGACTTGGTAAAACTATTTTGAATTAGTATTTGACATATTAGTAGCTACTGGTTTGCTTGTATGCAGCTTTATACGTGGTGTTCCAAGACTGTTGCCTCACTGACTTCCTGCTCACACAGAGAGGATAAGTTCGGAGTTGCTCAGCTTTCCGGGAGTAACGCAGCTGTCGTGTCGACGTTGATATCTTGCCTTCTTGCAGTTGAAACATTCATGGGAAAGAAAACGAATCTACAATCTTCGAATCAGCTGTTAGGACCTGCCAATATCCGGTGGCTGCCAGCAAATAGTGGAAGAGCTGGTGTTACAACTGTTAAAGGAGGAGTGGGCCTGAAATTCAAAAGCTTATGCTGTTGCTGATGTCCTCAAGACCTCAATCTACCAGATTGTCTCCACGTTCCATGATGAGATGTTGGCCAGTGCTAAAGCTGGTCTTCTTGAGAAGGACTGGATCACTAGTGGGAAACCCTTTTTCGGTACCCACGAGCTCATCATACAAAAATTTGCGCCTATTCCTCGATTTCCGAGCCACGTAGCTGGAATTTTCAGGTTTTGGTGCTACTTTCCTCAATTCCTTATCAACCTATTGGTGAGATATCCTTTGATCTACCAACATGGTTTCAGACATTATAATTACACACAGGTTGTTTGCTTGAGGAGGAGAGGATCAATTTTGCTGTCTGAATATTGAGATGAATGGTATGAATCCCTTGCTGTTTTCTTGAATGCACTCGGTTTGGCAGTTGAATTCATAGCAACAAGATTTGGTAGGATTGATCTTTGGCTGACCTGACTATCGAGTATGAGTATAATTTTTATAGCCTTATTCTGTTCTTTGGTCTTCAAATTATTCTTGTTTTAGCTTTCGCTTGTGCTGTAAGGCAAGTGCTTTTATGGGCAAAAATTCACTCGGATCATCTAAAACCAATGGTTAATTGATGGATATGACAAAACCGTTTTAATTTGATTGGCTATTATTTGAACTATTTTTTTGGGCTATTATTTTTACTAATTAATCCATTGATTAAATTGGATTTGGTTGAGTGGTTGGTTTTCTTTTTCGAAGAATTGCTTGCAATATACTTTAAAATTTTATATTTGTATAATATTAATTAATTTTATGATGATATTTTACATATTTGTTTGTGAAAAAACATTAGAAATTACCCTAGAGAGTGGAAAATTTATGAGAAAGTGTGTACTATATACTCCATTCCTTAATAAAAATTTAGGGCATTTTAATTGAATTTTATTTTAATAAATAATACTTATTTTAACATGATTTTATTTTTTTTATATTTATCCTTTATTTAATAAAGTATTTTATTTTAAAAAATATAAATAATTTATTGAGTACTTTTGGAGAAAAAAAAGTGTTGATTGTATATGAAAAGATTTAAAATGTTTTATATTTTTAATATTTAATTTTTAAAAAATATTTTATATTTTTAACAGAAAAAAAATATTTTTTAACGGAAAGGGTATAATATAATTAATATAATGCATGTTTGTATGTCTCTAATCGAATGTCCTAGAGCTTGTAAACGTGTTGTCTATGAGCATTGAAGTTGAAATTTGGAGCTTGAACTAAACGAGGGTTTCATATTTTGTAGGGATTGATAAATAAGTATTATCCATGACTTATGTTATACTCCAAACTTTAAAAATATAAAGTATTTTTAAAAAGTTGAATGTTAAAAAATATAAGGTATTTTTAATCTTTTGAGGTGTAATCATTGTTTTTTTTTAAGTGCTCTTATTGATAATAATTTTATATTTATTGTAGAGTGTTTAATAATATAAAAAAATATAATTAATTAAAAATAAATAATTATTTTATTAGAGGATAAAATTTAATTAAAAATATTTTATATTATTAATAAAAGAAGTATTAAATAAATAAAGATATCTAAAAATGTGGAAAGAACCAATCACTGATGTGAACATTGGCCCGAGACAAACATTACATCTTTTTACAATCAATCTATTTCTCAAGATTTAATAACAGCATTCCAATTTCTTTATTTATTCTGAAAATGTTTATATACTTAATTAAGATATATTTTTTTAATTAAATTAAGATATAGGTATATTTTATTATTAATATTATTCACGTATTAAAATTCATATGCTTTAATTTAATTAGATAAATATATTAAATATGTAAAATTAAGTGTATAAATTTTGCCCATATTTTAAACCTCAGCCATTATTTTTTGTCATGAATAGATGAACGTTTGAGGCATATTTATGTATTGTTTTTCTGTAATGAATTGATCAAACCAAAATTGTTAAATTCAACCTAAGAAGTACAGAGGAACTGGCTGGGTCTCAAAATAACAGCAGACGGCAGTATCGACGCCTGACATGGCGATAGCGTCCTTCTCCGTCGACGGCAACGCCTCCAAGATCCAATAGAAGGAATTCAAGCCCCTGAGGATCCGATTCTGATAGTGCGCCACATTATTCCCAGAATCCCAGGGCGAATAGAAGGATCAACAGTACACCACGAAAATCACACACGACGTCGCCAGCAACGTCGGGAACGAAGACAAATCCATCTCGAAGGCCCTAATTCACCTTCTTCAACAGAATGATTCAAATGTGGTTGATCGAGACAGAATTTTGGCGAATCAAGTATTGTTCTTTATTATTATTATTATTATTTTTGGGGGGGGGGGGGGGATTCGTCCAAATTCTAGTAAGTTGTTGAGGTACAACTGAGGGACGCATGGACGTGCCTGTTTGATCTCAATTATAAACTCCACAAGGGGAATCAAATTACGCGCCCGTTTGATGGCCTAGCTGCTTCTGCTACTTCGTCTCTTTTGTGGAAGAAACTATGCATGTGCCTTCGAAACGCTTTCTTTCTTCCATTTCCGGAAGCTTCCACATCCTATCTTCTTCTTCTTCCCCTCGTCTCCTATACCCACAACCCTCTCGTTCTCTAGCATGCTCGTTCCTTTGTGCTCGCTCAGTTTCCTCCTTGCCCCACCAAGATAAAAACCTCGAATCCCGATTCAATTCGAGACATGGGTTCAGAAGCTCAAACCCGAGTTTCCTCCTTCTGATGTCTACGAAGCCTTTCGTGCTCAATCGGACCCTGATCTCGCGCTCGACATCTTCCGGTGGATTGCTCAGCAACGTGGGTATAAGCATAACAATGTCACGTATCTCACGATGATCAAGCAACTCATCGCAGGTAGGCGGTATGGACACGCAGAAACCCTCGTTGAGGAGGTAATTGCCAGTGGCTGTGGTGCTAGTGTTCCTCTATACAACTCTATTATTAGATTCTGTTGTGGCGGAAGTTCCTTTTTAATCGCGCATTCGATGTGTACAAGAAAATGTTGAAGTCCGAGGATTGTAAGCCCACACTCGAAACTTACTCTTTGTTGCTCAATTCGCTTCTCAGGAGGTTTAATAAATTGAATGCGTGTTATGTGTATTTACATGCCGTTAGATCAATGACTAGGCAGATGAAGGCGTCTGGGGTTATTCCCGACATTTATGTGTTGACGATGATCATAAAAGCTTATGCGAAGTGTTTGGAAGTTGACGAGGCCATCAGGGGTTTTCCGTGAAATGGGATTATATGGGTGCGAGCCTAATGCTTATACTTATGGTTATATTGCAAAGGGTCTGTGTGAGGAAGGGAGGGTGAATCAAGGTTTAGGGCTTTTTTAAGTAGATAAGGACCAAGCGTTTGGTGCCAAGCACCAGTACGTATATGATAATCATTTGTAGTCTTGCTTTGGAGAGGAGGTTTGAGGATGCTATTGAGATTGTGTTTGACATGTTGGTAATTCTAGGTGCCCTGATCATTTGACTGACAAGACTGTTTTGGAAGGATTATGTCGAGAACGGAGAGGGAATGAAGCCTTTGAATTACTCGATGAATGGAGGAAGAGAAACATTTCAATGAATGATAAGACATACAAGATTTTGTTGAATGGATTGCATTTCCATTCTCAGCAATAGATTCTTTTCTTGATCCTCACCTTTGGTTTTAAGTCCAGATGCGTGAGGCTTTTCTGATCTGGAATTCAGTTTTTCTAACAAGCAAAACTTGTTGATGCTTCTAAGCCCTGGTTGTGTTGTATCAGTTGATACTATTCGTTGATAAGAGTGACGGATACAGATAAATGGAAGCACTGTGCTTGTTGTGAGAAATTCTTTCAACCTCTTTTTGAAATTGTCTTCAGAGGGTAGTATTCCATAGAGTGGGAACGAGAGTTATTTAGTTTCTTTACAACTGAATATCCCCATTCTCTCGCATAAAATTTGATCTTGCCTCCACGGACGAAGAGTGTCCTTTGTTTTGAAATGCACCATGGGTTGCAAGAAATAAGAACCTTTATGATCAAACACGAGGAGGCCGCATTACAGTCCCGTTGAAGTAGATACAGGTGAACAATTTTTTCCCTATATCACAGAGGCAGAACCTTTCAAACCTGGCTTGCGGATGACTTGTTGGATGGGCAATTCTACCAAATAACCAGCTCAAGCTGCACAGAGGTCATCTGATTGTTGTTTTTTCCCTGGTATTTACCCCCATGAATTCATCTGAAAATGGTTGTGGTGTCGACACTTGTCAACTTGCTGTTGAAGTGACAAACTTTCATCTTCAGCTTCGTATCTCCATTGTTTGGACATCCCAGCTTGTGTTGGTGGCATGAGGAGTGATACTTGAGGATTAATCATCTGAAGATGGCTGAGCAAAGGCATCTGATGTCTGATGATAGAATTGCCAATTTTTCTGGTGGTAATCATGTTTACAAAATGAAATTGTGTATTTTAGGTACATTCTGTATTTGTTATTCTTAAGCTCCACGACCACATGATGAGTGGTGAGAGGTTTCTTACCTGAAGGGAAAGAAAACATGCTTGACAACATACTACAAAAATTGGAGCTGGCTGGAAGCTAGAAGGAAAATAATGGCTTCAAACGCTCTCATTTTCTAGGGCATGGAGAAGGCACAAAAAGGCAATGGTGGCACACGAATACACTTTGCCAGTTTCATTTATTCAACGAATAAGTGTGAACATGTCAAGGTTTAATATGTTCAATTCTATTACAGATTACAGGATAATATCAGACTTTGGGACCAATCTAAGCTTGGCTACCCTAGACGGCAAATCACCAGATTCTCGACCTTGTAGTCACATATGTGAAATCACTTTTGGCTGAGTCAAAAGGGTCATATTCCTTCAGCGGAAACACCTAAATCAAAAGAGGGGATATATGTTCTGGTATAGATTTTTCAACAGAATCAAATAAGATCATTTTCCATCTGTGTACACACCTAAAACAAAAGAGGAAAAAAAAAATGGATACATGTTACAATGTGCGTATAAAGCTTAAGTTTTATATCCACACATAAAGCTTAAGCTTTCGTACCCGCTTGCAAAAGATTAAGCAGCGCCAACAGGTTGAAAATCGAGACCTTGTATTTGAAGCGTGCAAGAAAATGAAGTTCTCCTTTTGGTAATTGAGCATGGTTATACTCATCCCTATCCACAGTCCACAACTATCAACAAATCTCATGGCCTACAATTTGCACACCAACTTGAGAACGTTTGCGCTTAAAATATTTTCAAGCCACCAATCTTACATGACTGTATGTAATAATGTCACAACTTACAAGATGCACAAACAATCAACAAACTTGGTTCCTAATGCCTATTATCAACAATTAATCATTAACCAGCAAAATACAAAATGAAAACATCACTATTCACAACAACATTACAATTACCAAATAAACGCAGATATGTAATTAACATAAATTACACACATCAGACAAACGATGTTGATCTTGAAACCTGGGACAGAGCATCATCAAAATGATCATCATCAACCTTGTCAGAACTCAAGCTTGGTGGAATGAATGATCTGAAAATCTGCTCCAAGTTTGGTTGCTCCTTCAGACTATGGGCTGCGACCTCAAGTGTAGGATGCTGAAATGCGGGGTAGAATTTCTTGGCACAGACGAAACCGAAGATTAACGACAAGATAGGAAGAGGAATTAGCAATGGTGTGTAAACGAATTTCTGCACCCCGAAGTAACCAGCCATGGTAACTTGGAAAAGTACTAAAGATGCCAGTACACGGTTGTTAATGTGGGGCCACATTCTTCCATAACTTTCATACGATGGAACATACACTTTCAGTGCCTGTTGATACAGGGATAAGAACTGAATGTTAAAAACTAGATTAAATCATGAGATTTTATTGATATAACTCAAGGAAAGGCTCAGTAGTAGCCAAATGTTTTACTCTAGAATTTGACAACATCGTACTCTTTCATATTTTATATGGTTTTTTTAAAGCTACAACTAAGAAATCGTCAAAGAAAAAAGTTGAAGTACAGTGCAACAAAGTTCAAAGAACTTCACCTGATTTCTAAGTATAAGCCATCCTAGGCCAAAATAGAGAACTCCAAATGGGATTATTAAAGGAGCAATAACGGAGTAGCAGAGGACAATTGTAACAATCAGCATGTCTCCAGGAACTCTAGTCCCATAGCCAAGATCTCCAGGAAACCAAGCTTCTTTCAACTCAGCTTCAGTCTTACAAAGGAACTTCCTCTTCAAATGGTAAATGATTAGAGGAACTATGCGAGACAGTTCAAGCCCATAGCCAACGAAAAATCTGAGACAAACATGTTTAAAAATTAAAAAAAAAAAATCAGTGAAGCTGCATCCAAAGAAAAGGTAAATTTTTGTTATGGAAAAAGAAAGAAAGAATGACAAGGTAAAAATTTATTCCAGTGTTCGGTAGGAATAATTCAAATTTTGTAGTGAAACCAAATCATGAGAGAAAATAGCTAGTTGTTACAGCCATGTTTCAAAACAGTCATACTATCTCCTCCTTCAAGTGGCTCTAGGAAAAGGGAACAAGAGGTATTGTGAAACAGCGGTCGCTGATAAAAGCACCAGACTTGTGTTAATTTTCTCTGGTGATAACTCTTAGTACTTCAATAAAAACTTACAATGTGATGCTAATTTGTCATATTTTATTTTTGAACCTAAGGGTTATTCTATATGCTCTTAGTGAGTAATATAAATAGAAGAAACCAAGCATTGGGAGGATAACTTACTTGAGAGCCACAAAGGTCAGAAAGAACGTAGCATTGCCAGGGAGCTTTTGAGCAAGCAAGGACACAATTTGGTTTGGGTTCTTCTGAATGGTCTTGAATGTGCTGAACAAGGTACCGCCCACAGTAACTCCGATGAAAACATTAAGCACAGTAAAATAGAAATATTTCCCAGAAGCGGCCCTGATTGCCTGACTTTCGGTTGGAATGCCCTCAAGTTTAGACAGACAAAAGAGGAGCTTGGGCAATAAAGCTAAGAAGACGAGCAATGCAATTTGAGGGAGGTAAGCTTCCAACACTGTCTTCAGAACAGTTATACGCGCAAGTGGCTTTATGAATGGTAGAAGTTTCATCAAATTCTTCAGAGTTGTGAAAGCAGAAATAAATGTAATTGGAATCATGTAGAAGAATATTGTTAGCGCAACAATAATATACACCACATACTGCCTAAGCTCTCTTTCAAAAAATTTGATATTCAAATTCGACCATATAATTTGTCGTGGTTCAGGAGCATCAAACACTGTCCACGTGTCCACCATTTGTGCATGTAAACTCTGAGCCGCAGATGCTGCAGTTACTCTATCTGTGAAGAACACCAGAGCAGCACCTTGCTGTTTTTCTTTGAGAGTGATGTTTTGCTCAGATTCCAATTTAGCAACTAATTCATTTATTTTCTCATTGCAATAATTTATGCTATCAACCTTTTCACCAACAAGTCCAAGGAAGCCAGTCTTGTTAGTTGGCCTTGTTCCTTCTGGTTTGGATGTTGTTTTTGAGCCCCCGTATACAGCTTCTGCACGTGCTAGCTTCTTCTTATACCCTTCTAACTCCTCCCAAATCTTGTTCACCTGTTAGCGTTAATCTTAAAGTTATTAAATTACATATTACAATACTTGAAAAGGAAGGAAAAAATTGGAAAGAAGCACCATAGACAAATTAAGTTACAAAGAACAAATTCTAAATGCCACAGCAATTATAAATTGTAAAGACAAACTCTCTAAGGTACGGAATCAGGGATAGGAAAGGTAATTCAGAGCACATGAGTAAGGACAATGAAATGAACACCATACCTCTTGTTGTCCGTGACAATCAAAGATCTGTAAAATGTCTCAGGATAGATGGTTTTAAAATACGAGTCAACCTGCTCTTTCCTTGTCTGATCTTCAGGTAGATGAGGTATATCTCTCACAATTACAGCAAATTGCTCAGGTTTCACTTCAGGAGACCTAAGAGCTTCTGATCGCAGCCACGACACATGATTGTAGGACTTCCATAAGAGGTACAATGAAACAAACGAGACCCAGTAGGTGGCAACAAAAAATGCCCACAACCTTGGACTCTTTCCTGTGATATTTCCCATAGAAAACTTGTCAAGTTCATTGAACGTCCCGTTGCTAACAGTATTTGAATTAGACTTTGCTCCATTATCAGTAATAGCAACCGGCAGAAGAACTGGTAGCAGTATGATGCCGGATAACACCAGGATACCCAACACTGGAATATCACAAGAAGAAAACAGTTACAAGCAGGCTAAGTTTATTCGCAAATCACCAGATATACGGATACCACAATGTAATGATGCAGTTGAGCATAGGCCGTCAGCTTGGCTTCGTTAATTAAGGCAAACGAAAGCTTATGATTAGAGGGCATGCATGCGATTACTAAAACAAAGACAATGTATATCATGCAACGAGAGACTTGGAAACTTGTTTTTGTCACCCAGGAAATAGAAAGGAGAGGGACAGTCTGCATTCACATTTTTTGGTCATACAATATACTCCCGGTCCCTCCTCCGTTACTTTTTATAAGAAAGGAACTAATTCTCAAGATAAAAAATATATAGTTAAAGCTAGTTGGATTAATAAATATGTTAAAAATACAAGTTTCTTTTCCAAAATGTTCTCATTTAATAATTGGTCAATGGCTTTTAATCATTAATCTCGTTTAACAATTTTTTTTTTTTGATGATGGTATAAAAAATTTAATAAATACCCCAACGGTGCAACCAAACAAGAGGTCATTGTTTTTTACTACAAATATAATCCAAAAAAACCTTTAAAAAAATTCTCTTCTAAAAAGGCCCACACGGACTCAAGGAGTAGTAGCCAAAAAGTCTTTAAATGATACCGTTTCCAATTATTAAAGGACCCCACATTTTTTTTTAATAAAATTTTCAAGAGTCAAATAATATTTACAATAGTGTGTGTGGACCAGCTTCTCTTTATTTTTTTCTCTCTCCACTTCCTCTCTACTTTTCATCTCAACCGTCAGATTCATTTTTGAACGGTTAAAATTTAATGTTTTATAAAATTATTATTATATTCATTTTTTATAAAATTTTATATTTTAATAATAATTTTATGAAACATCAAATCTCAATCGTTCAAAAATAAATCTAACAGTTGAGATGAAAAGTAAAGAGGAAGTGAAGAGAGAAAAAAATGAAGAGAAGCCAAATCCGTGTGTGTGTAAGCATGTGTAACTTTGAAATGCAAATGACCTTATAAATTGGTCAAAAAATGTCCTTATAAATTATATAAATAAAATTTCTCCAGGGAGAGAAGGCTTTAACCAAAAAAGTTTGTTCCTTAAATAATTAAATGTATTTTAAATTGTAATGCTATTATTTGAAACTGAAAATTAATCAGTACATAATTTGATTTTTATAAATACAAACTTAGTATTAATTTTCTTAAAAATTACATATTTTTCTTAAAATAAAGTTACACAACTTTTTAATCTAATATTAAATCTTTTACCAAAAATATCTTCCATCTATTCAAATGTATTATTATATAGTTATTGAACACTAATTTTTAATTTCAACACAGAATTAGGTAATTTTGAAAATAAAAAATGGCGATTGTAATTTTAACGAAATTCATAATGTATATTTATCAAACTTGCTCCTCCTTTTGTCATGTAAATCTCTGAATTGAAAAGAAAATAATCATCAGATTCTAAGATCGAGGCCCTAAAAACTGATACAAAGCGAAAAAAGTATGTAGTAGTTCATTTTGTCTATTTTTCACCCAATCTTAATTGGTTTTTTTTTTACAATAAATATTTTATATTTTACTTACCTGTAAACTAACTGATTGGAAAGAAATTTGCTACTTCTAAATATTGTATCTATTTTATTTTTAATCAAACTTTTAAATGGAGAGGAAGTTCTAGGGAAGAGCATGGGAAAAACAAGTATAGAAAAACTTGGTCTAAAATTAGCTAAATCGAGAAGAAGTCAGGAAGTGGATGGGAAAAGAACTAGAGAGAAACTCTCTTGAAATGAGAGGAGGAGGAAAAAACGACAAACCAACCAGTGCTCAAGAACACGAAGTAAACGGCAGTATCGACGCCAGACATGGCGATCACGTCCTTCTCCGTCGACGACAACGCCTCCAAGATCCAGGAGAAGGGATTCCTAATTCGGGATCTGCTTTCCACCGGATCCAAACCCTTGAGTATCCGATTCGGATAGTACACAACGTTATTCCCAACTCTAGCCGATAAGCACGTGAAAAGAAGCATCAACACCACGAATATCACGAACGACGTCGCCAGCGATGTCAGGAACGAAGACAAATCCATTTCGTAGGCCCTAATTCACCTTCTTCAACGGGACGATTCAAATGCGAGTCATCAACCGACAAATCAATTGCAGGTGGCGAAGAAGCAGCACTTTCAGAGAGACAGACTAGAAGAGAAAAAGGATATATACGGTCGAATGTGGACGAGCAAGGTAGTTGTTGTGGGACAGTATAATCTTTTCATTTCGGGAGCACCATTTTGATGCAGTTTTAGAAACCCTACGTGCGCGTGCCCTTTTCAGTTTCTGAATCTGATGCGCAGAGAGAGAGAGAGAGAGAGAGAGAGCGCGGGGGGGAAATATGGATTGGAGGGATTTTTTTTTTTTTAATTGGAGCAACGTTCAAATTCGACAGATTGAGAATCGATAACGGAAAAGGACTCGAGATTTGAATCCTTGTATGACGCAGCTGCCCTCAGCTTATATACAAATTTCCCATATTGCCCGTTAATGAATTTTATATCATAATTAATTATTTCAAAAAGATAATAAAACTTTTAATCCTTCATACTTATTTTCATTATTAATTTAATCCTTTATATATATATATATTTTAATTATTACAGTAATCTTTTAAATTTTAAAATATAAGTTAATTTTTAAATTAATCTCATGTGTAAAGTATGTTAATACTTTAAATGTATATATAATTAAATAAAAAAATTAATTTTTAAATCAATATAATTTTTATTAATATGTAGTCGGTTGTGCTGTTTTTTTTTTTTTTTGCTTTTTAAAATTTTTAAGCATGTTCTTTCACCTGCCTAGATAATTAGACTTTTGTTCATTGATTTACATAATTGCTATCATGATTTTAATATTCGTGTCACCACATTTTAACAGTTTTATATTATTTTTTAGACAATAAAGATTAAATTAATGATTATGACAAATTTAAAGGATCGAGTTGATAATTAAGATAAATTTGAGGGATTAAAAATTTTATTATCCTTATGTTAAATTTATTGATGAATTATATTTGTAATTATTTTATAAAAATATCAATAAAAAATAAAAAATATACTCAAGCCCAATCTAACAGCTGTGTCACTTTTAGTGTTTAGTAATTAAGGAAGAAACATGTGAAGTGGAATGATTAAAGTAAATAGTAGCGTGCAATTATTCTTATAAACTGGATCAGTTGCTTCAAAATGAAACCACGAAACTGGGCTGTCAATTGCTTCAAATTGATTTAACATGATTTTAAAAGGGGGGAAAAAAGATACAATGGAAGTGATGGTATCCATGACCATGAGACGCTCAAACAATCCAATGAATCGAATTGAGGATTGAGTTGACAGAGTTTACACTCTAATGGTACACACACGCGATGACTGAAGTATAACCAAGAAAATGATAATATACTGTAGAGACATCACTTGTATGCTGAATATTTTAATAAAAAAGAGGGCATGGAGGTCACTTACATCATGAATATCTGTTTTGATTTTAAATATTGCTACCGGCTCCGCTGTGGCAGTGTTAGTATCTATCATAAAGCATTGACAGCCCAGTTTATTTGCCGTTTGTTTCAATGAAATGAAGCATTGCTTTGCGGGCCCAAAAAATATCCATTATAAAGCACTTTCTAAACAGATTTTTTATCCTTAACATTAAGCATATAAAGGATTATTTATTGTCATTTTATAATTTTTATTTAATTGTAAATTTAATTGTATAGCTCATTGTATAATATATATCTTACTTTTAATAGAGGTAAAGTTAATTTTTTTTATTTAAAATATTTTTAATAAATTAATTGTCTTTAATTTCAGTAAAATAGTTGAGAGTGTAATAGGTGTGTCTGAAGAAACGTAGACTGAAGAAAGTATGGTTTACCAATTCTCTGGCCTTTTTGTCTAATGAATAATGAGCTCTGGCTGCCACGAGGCAAGTGCATCCATTTTAAAATATGAAAATTGTCACGAGACAAAATTTGAAGTACATAAGGAACCAATTTAATAAAAAAATTTAGAAGGCAAATGGCCTGTGGCGATGAGGAGGCTAATACTGTCATTTGATCAGGAATGTAATAGACGTAGTAACTACTAACTGTAACTGTCATGCGAAGATATTTTTGTGACCCTGGCTAAAGTAGATATTTTGGGCAAGTTACACGTGACACGTGTCGAGACGAGAGGTGTGTGAGCCACGTGGCGGATGGATGTGTTGCCGACAGGTTCAAGAGAGGTCCGACCTACTTTGTTCTGCTCGTTGCAACTTGCAGAGCCTTTTCTTTCTTTTCTCACTTTCGTTGGGATTCGAATTTTGTGCGGGAAGTCGGCACGTGATAGTGGCCCAGTCACGTGCCAGCAAGGGAAAATCCAATGCAAGGTAAAGTGGGACCCAGACGTCCTGGACACGCATGTGCCAAGAGATAAGGGGAAACAGGCGCCAACAATAGAAAAAGTATCTGACCAGGCGAAAAAAAAAAAAAAAAAACACAAAAACACAAAAACACAAAAAGTTTCGTCAGAGAGAAATAAAAAAATGACAGAAAATGAAACCAAAAACAAAAAAATACGTTATTCATTATAATTCAATCACGAGATCAAGCAACTTCGATGTTGGACAAAATAGAGGGCTATTTAAAATTATTTTTATTTTATTATTTTAAAAATTAATATTTTATAAAATATGTTTTGAGAATAAGAATAATCAAAAAAATATATTTTTTCATTCTTCCTGATTCCCCAAAACAATAATTTTAAAATATTTAAAAGTTATTTCTATTTTTCTATTCTCCATAATAATATTTACTTTTTTTATTCTCTAAAATATTTTTTAAAAATCTGTTATCAAATAATTTTTTTTATTTTTTTTATTCTGAAGAATAGAAAATTATTTCCTAAACAAGGCCTTGATTGTTTAGAGTCTGGCTTCTTCTTCTTTTTTTCCCCCAAATGGACAATAACTCGCACGCTTAAAGGTTACCAGGGATGATTGGCATTCCATTGATTCAACTGATGTAAGAGAATAAAATTGATTTATCTCGGAGTCTCCAGTTCGAATCCTAAGACATGTAATCACATTAATAATACTCAAATTTTAAATTTATCCAGTGATAAAATAATAAAAATTATATCTATGACTTTTTTTTCGATGACAAAAGAAGCTTCCACACACCGCACACTTGCATTTGGCATTTCATCTCACAAGTCTTTAACATTATGAGCCCTCTAGAATTGAAGTCAAACATAATGGGAATTAACAACTTTTTTATGTATGCGTGGGACTTAAGAGTATCCACTTAATCAATCCAGATCTTACCAAAACAAGAAATCTAGCTTGATTCTTAACTATAAAAGTATAAAACCAAAAATCTACATTGATTCTTGACCTATCCAGATCGACCAAAACCAGAAATCTACTAACATTCTTGGATACAGACAACGCATCTCTCAATTATACACCGAACCAGCAAGAATTAACTCTGTCACAGCCGCGACTACACTGTGCACTCGAGAATTCAATGCCTCTCATTTTCATTTTCTACAACACGCACACGCACACACCCACCCAAAAAGCATCTCTCCCCCTTGAAAAATCTCCAATTCATTGGTCTCATTTCCAGGGACATGTCCGTGTTAATTCCTATTTCGTGATTGAAACTCATTCTGCTAACACTATTCTTGGCCGGACATCAGTGGTGGTGTCTTACATAAATGATACCAAAAAGGCTGAGAGTCGAGTGGTGTCGATCGCCACATGTCATCTAAAGTTGCAGCAGTGAGCTCTACCTCTTGTCAATTTGTCCCACAGACAGATCATCTGCCTTGGTGATTGGTAGTGTGCTGTGAAGTAGCCCTCCATGCAGCCATACTGACAAAATTTCCAGTTATGGGAATACTGTACAGTTCTCATGGTACTGTTAAATCGCTCCACCCACATCCCCATGCTTACATCTTCCATCTTAAAGAGCTGCCATAAGAAACAAATATAAGGAGGATCAGCATGGTGAGTACTGGTATAATAATCTGTTGTGTTCATGGAAGTAAGAGTAAGAGACATTGGGAAAAGCAAATGTGAACTCGAGATACAGTTTAGAATGACCAACCCTGAGCCTCCTCTGCTGGTGTTGAGATATGACGAAAACAACAATGTCACTGGAAATCACGTATGCAGGTCCATTTGCATAAGGGGGATACACTTCTTCTGGCCACTCCTGTGAGATCAAAACATTATCCTTAAAGTTGGGATTGCGAAATGAGAGCTGGTATGTGAATGAACAGGATATACAGTTCTCTGTTAACTTTCAGTTTCGACTATAAGATGCAGTTACCATACCTCATAAGTGACAGCCCATTTGCCATTTCTCAGAGGCCGATGCAAAAGATTGAGATTGCCCATATAAAGCGACTTTTTCTGAGGGACTCGTTCAATTTCTTTCAAGACAGTATCCACCCTAACAAACGCATCATCATCACATTTCATGATATATGCAGCACTCACATTGTGAACCTGCATGGAGAAACAACGGTATGGTACCAGAGAGAATCAAAGGCCAGCAGCTAGAAAAATAGCACCTCTTAGGGGGGGTGGGCGGAGGGAGGGGGGGAATTAGATCCCTTTTCAGTTATTTTGAGAGGGAGAGGAGGATGGAAAGCAACCAAAAGGCTTAAAATCAACTCACCCCAAACTCACAGATGGCAATGGTTTTAAGAACAACAAGCTCATAGCGGTCCATAAAAGGCAAAATGACAATATCACCGAAGTAAGTGGCCTCTTTCTTCAACACAGCATTTACTTCCTTCCTCGGATTCTTCATGTTGATTATACATAACAGCCACAATACACAGATGAGTTAGCAATGCCATGGTAAGAGAGAGAATATTTGTGGCAAAAAGAAATGAAAACGGACAGAGCCACTGAAGAATGACAAAGAACACAAAGCCAAATTTTCACATGCAACCACCAATTAGACAGCAGAAGTATGACTAAGCATAACAGATAAGCTACTAAATTGTTCTTCAGCAATTACAATGCCTCATACATGGAAAATTTCTCACGACCCCCAATGTCACCACATGAATTTGTATTATCACCCAATCCAAAGAAATCATCAGTACAAACAAATGATCCTGAAATAAACTAGTCAAATGGTAAATGTTACTGGCTTAATCCACTACAATTAGGACACCTTAACAGTTCAAGCAAACCTACAACAAGGACAGAGGTGACAGATTACAAATCAAAGTTGTCATTAATAAAAATATTAGAATAAATCATGATTAAATAAAAGCCTCATAAAACCCAATATAACTTTCCAAGTTGATGCCCAAGTCTCAACTTAGGTTTGATCATGTTCACATTGCTTGCTTTAAGATCAAATGGATTCATCAATCTATGATCATCAAAACTCATCATTTATCCTTCTAGGGAAGGAAATAGTTGGGTTGCCAATATAGACAAAACTTTAAAAAGATTTTCAAGAACTATGAAGCCCCATGCCTATGGCTATGAAGCCTTACGAACACTCTGGCCATAGAGCAAATTTGATCTTATTCGCTCTCTAAAATCAATTTACATAAGTCCACAGGTCAGGTCAAACTTAACCAGATCCAAAGCATTTCATCAATTAATTGAAACCATTCAACACCCAAACCCAACTTTGCCTGAAAAATAATTGCACAAAAAAAAAATGTTTTTTACATTTTCAAGTGAAACAAGAGTCACTGAATTGCTGCAGCAATTATAAACCAATAATCTGCCTGAACATTAATGCTCCTCCTTCTCACTTTTTAAACAACTTCAATGCCCAAAAGATAATTTATGCCACTTTCCATCTTTTGTTAACTTGCGGTTCTCTAGGTATGCATGCCCTTTGACTCTGCTAGTGAATCTGATCCTAGCTCTACAAAAACCCTAAGAAGCTGCTGATTAGAAGCCACGACATAAGGCAATTCCAATTCCATTAACAGTAGCACTTTAGCAATCATACCAAAAACCTCACAAGACTTAAAACACTTCTACAGGACTTAAAACCAATATTTCCCCCCAAAATTTCCATCATACCAACCCCTTGAGAGTTTTTCATATCTTAACAAGTTTTTAACAATGTACCATACCATTCTTGAGGCCATGCATTCCTTTAAGCTCATGTCTAGAGTGAATCCTGACATCCTTCTATTGCCAGAGAATACTTTTTCTTTTTTCACATAAACTAATAGCATTTTTGTCCTGAGAAATATGAAGGCAGAAAGCTTACCAATGCAACAAAGAATCGTACTACTACATCTGAAGATTTGATGGCAGCTGATTGCATCCATGTTTTCCTAATTGCCATGCGTTCAGCAAAGTGATTTGAGGCAGAAAGAACTCCAATAAAAAGTTTAATAGGACTTTTTGGTAGAGGACTGGCTCTCCAAGTCTCTGACATTTCCAGCACTCTTTGAGGTGAGAAACTTGGATGAGATCTAGGGAGAGCGGTAGCATAAACTGAATGAATATCCACCTCTCCTTTGATGGCCAATCCAGTGGCATCTTCAAGTGTAAATCCCTGAAAATTATCAACTCAGACGAAAAGAAAAGGCTTCTGGGGCCAGAAAAAGCCTGGACAGTAATAAGATAAAATCCAACTATTCTCAAAGCTTATGCTTTTAGCCCTTTACGTTGAGTAACCCTTCGAGCTATTACCATCATTATGAGAAATAAAATAAAAAATGATTACATAAAATAAAAGCAATTGTATGATGAAATAAAAAGTAGATGAAATAAAAAGTATGTTTCTAAACTCCAAGACAGTATAGTAAAAGCAATTATGTGAAGGAACTTGTCATCATCACAGATTTTTAAAAAAATAAAGTATTAAAATAAGAGAAAATATATACATGGCAGAGAGGGAATCCCCAAGGAAAAAAATATACAGATACTCAATACAGAAAAGCATATCAAAATTATTAAACAAGGGACCAATAACTGGTGTGATGCCATCCAACTTCCACAACAGATAACTGTTGCAAATCAGCTAGAAATGCAATTTCACACAGTCAAAGCATTTAATGCAAACATCAAGTATAATAATTTATAATAGTTTCATCTCAATTAACTTACCGTCCGATATGGAAATGAAGTTACATGGCGACCTCCAACATTGATATGGTATCCTTCAACACCAGCAAGCAGTGTAAGGACAAACATTCTACCTTCTACAAAAGCAAATGGCCAGGTCACTTCTGGCTTTTGCTCACGTCCTATAAATCGCTTGAACCATGATGTTGTCTTGGACTCTTTTGAGTCTACAATATCATTACGCATCCACTTTTCACATCGTCTATGTCCATCAACTGTTAAATTTAAGAAAATTAATTTATGTATTAGAGTGCAAAAAAAAGAAGGCATAAAGTTCGACATCGTAAACAGCTGGAACATGTGTAATGGTAGCAAGAGTTATACATTTTAGAAAAGAAAACTATTTATCAACTATTTTTTTTTTTCTTAATTTATTTTTTTAAAAAGTCTATTGATGAAAATAGGAAACAATAGAACACCAGAGGACAAGTAGTCCGTGAAACAAGGACTAAAGACTATAGCCCAAGAGCTTTTTCTAAACCATCTTAAATATCCCCAATAGATACTGCCTAGAAGAACAATCTTCTGAAATCAACCCAAAGAAGAATCCTCTTATTAAAAACTTATTCACTCCAACCAAAAACATCATCCTACAAATACAGACTATGCATTAAAATATACGTGTGTATTAACTAATGAGCATAGACAATTTTGATATGTGGTCTAGCAGAACAGTCCAGAGTACTCCCTTTGATTCTATTTATAGGGCAGAGAGAAAAAATTTTTTTTATCCTATTTATAAGTCAACCTCATTAAATTTTTATTGCAAATTTTCCCATTTGACCTCCATTGGAATGTTGAGAAGAGAACATATGTTGTTAAAATATGAATATTTAATAAGTGCAAAGTTGAGAAATTATTAAATTTCTAGACAGAGTTAACGAATTTTAAGATTTTCTTTAATTCTCATGAAACATGTTGGGAGTACCTTATAAATAAGACCAAAAGTAACACAAAAGATGTTCACTCCATAACGTAGAATGCACAGATATAATAAAGATCTGACATGGATATACGAACTAGGAGAGTTCTTAAAACAAAGGATACAACAAGGTTAGCATATGAAAACACACACAAAAACAAGAAGAAGAAGAAGCAAAAATACATAGAAAATGTAAAATCAACTAAAGAAGACACATTTAAAAGGTAAGTACCAATGCATCAATTGTTACAAATTCACGGTAACGCTAGAACAAAACTATAATTAGAAGTTGCAACTGCAAAAGTACCTGTAGTCATTATTCGTAAGTTTTTCTGCCACATCTTCTTTGGTAGAGAATTATTTTTTAGGCTTACATGAGTATTTCAGTTAATGATTTTTAGATGGAATGCCCCAAAGGAAATGCTAAACTCCATCATCTTTAGAGATAATTGGTATCTTGTTTTAAATCATGGTTTGGAAGGATCATTAATCTTTTCTAAGGAACCATCACGGCTAAATCTTTTGTGTCATGTCTCCATCTTGTTTGGAAATGGAGACTCCATTCTATAACACACTATATCTAAATATGATAAACATACCGAGCATTTCTTCATCATCACTGCTTGTCAAACCATCACATCTTTGAGCTTTACCCCACTGCATTCTGTAACAAGTATTGTGCTCAATTACAGGTTGTTTGCTCCAATCCCCTCTTAAACGAGGATTCAAATGCAAAATCTTTGGAGGATCCTCCCCATCCACTGACTTCAACCCTTGCAATTCAACCATAAACTGTGAAACTGAAACCAACCCAGAGCCTCCTCTCAACCTTGCAAGCTGGGGTACATACTCCTTGTGAGCATAATGAGGTGTACCCACCACAGTGATTGAAGAACCTGCGGCAAGTCCACAAGGAAGAAACATCAACCGGTCTCCCTTCACCAATTCTTCTCCACTCACTGAAATCCAAGAAGGGCATGACTCAGGCTTTCCTTCAATGATAGAACTTTCTCCCGACTCTTTCTCGTCAACCTTATCTAATTCTCTCCAAGCCTTTAACCCTAATGTCCATGCCTCGTCTGCCATCTTCTCAAAAACAGTCAAATCACTAGTCCTGTTCCATCGACGCATGATTTCTCCAGTAATCCTGCCATACCGCTGTGGAATCTGCTTCACATTTTCTGGGGCATGTTCCTCTTTCATCGGTTCCTTGTTTGGCCTCGACGGAGCGTCCTGGTCTTCATTATCTTCTAAGCTCCGGTGAAATACATCTTTATAAGCAGAACTGAAAAACGGTTTGCTTAAATCTCCATCATTAGTGCCCTCTACAGCTGTCCCATCCAGCGTAGCGTAGCTTTCATCCCCACTTAACTGTGATACAATCTTTAGAAATTGCGGAAACTTACATGATATAAAAATCAAATATAACACCCCAATACCAAGTAAAAAATGCGACAATTTGAACCTCCTCGAATTGGGAGGTTCACTTTTCGGTCTCTTCATCCTTAACACACGAATTGGTGCACAATATTCCAAAACAAAATTTCCCTCAGAATCACGCACTATCTAATCAGAAGAAACCAAAAACAAGTTCCGAACTCGGCAAAGCTCGCCCACAGAGACAATGCCAAATCTTTAGGGCCAGAACACGTCCAATTTTAGGAAAAAGTCGATATAGTTAGGTATTGGACAATGGGAGTGGGTTTCTCGGGCAGAATGGAAAGAATCGAACCTCCGAGAAACGGGAAGAATCAAGTTCAGAAATGAACCAGTATTGCGATGCAGCAAGAAATTGCAAGAAACCCCAATACAATCTGAGATGCAGAATCCTGAATAATTCAAAATTTAGCCAGCATTTCACAGAAAACTTGACATAAGGAACAATGAAAGAAGCAGTGAATGCCGAGATTAATGACTGCCCAAGAATAGAAACGCAGATCTTTGATCACGGTTGAAGATGCCAGGGATATAGGCAGCATTGAATGATAGAAAGAACAAGATGAAGAAGAAAGACGACGGGTATTTAGCATGGATGTGGAGGACACCCGACTGAACACTCGAAACGAGATTATTACTAGAAAATGAATTTAAATCATTGTGGTAATTAGATTGTTGAATTTTATTTAGAAAAATGTCATCTTTCTGATTACAATGAAAAATACCCCAGCTGTTTTAACTTTTAACTTCTTTAAAAAATAATAATAATAAATTTTTAAATTATGTAAATAATATTTTATATTATAATCCTTTTAAAGATTTTTTTATTATTAAATAAAAATTTCAAACTTCAAAACAAATATTTCACATCCTTGACTGACAAGTTTTATTTTAAAATTTATAATTTTTTTTAAATTATAAAAATTAACAACATTTGTAAATTTATATTTAAAATTTTAATATTTTTTAAATATTATAAATATCAATTGACATTTATAACTTTTTATTTTAAATTTATAAAAATTTAATATCAATTTATAAATTTACATTTAAAATTATGATATATCTTAGGTGTTATAAATATCAATTGTTATTTATAAATTTTGTTTTAATATTCATAACTTTTTTTTTAATTTATAAGAACAGCAATTTGCAAACTTATATTTAGATTTTAATATTCTTTAAATATTGTAAATATCAATTATCATTCACAAATTTTATTTAATATTCACAATTTTTTTAAAAAAAATACAAAAATTCAACAGCAATTCTTAAGTTTACAAGTATATGTTCCAATGTTTGAGATTTTTATTTCAATTAAAGGTAATTTAATCTTTTATATTAATTTTTTAATGATAAAAAAATTAAAAAATAGAATTATAATACTTTAAGAGATTAAAATATTTTTTAAATAATTAAAAAAAAAGTAATGTTATTTTCCCAAAATTTTACTCCCACGACACGCAACAAATATCAGTGCAGGGTTGGAACTCAGGACCGGAAAAATGTGACATTGCCAATGCCAATGGGATAATTAACCATTTAACTTTTAATGTTTTAACTATTGAAGTATTGTTGGCATAAAAAGTAAAAAAAAAAACTATTGAAGTGTCTTTTTTTTAGGTAAATCGTCTAAACATTTAACATAATTATTTGTCGAACAATATAATACAACCCCTCTGTTTAATATTATAAGACTTTTTTAAAATACCATGTTAAAAAAATATAAGAAATTTTGAATTGTTTTTTAGAAATAATCTTATTTAATGGTATAATTAATAAGATTTTTTTAATTGAAATGCCTTTTAAATAACAGCAAACATAAAAAATCTCCATTGGAGTTGTAATTCGATTAAGATATCTTCTAATATTGAATGGATAAAGTGTTCTTATTTATTGGTGAAGATGCTATTACTCTCACCACTCTCCAACATGTTTTAGTAAAATTGAGAAAATTGTTAAAACTCATTAAATTTGTCTACTAAATTTTTAATTTTATTCTTATAAAATATTCTTACTTTAATTATATAATTTGTCTTGCTAATGTTTAATGAGGTAAGGGATAAAATTTATGATGAAAATTTAACAATATAATTTAAAAATAAAACTAAAAAAAATCCTTTTATCCCACCTTTATAAATAATACTGGAGGGACATGTTAAATGTTCTACGTAGTGCAAAGATATACATTAATTGGTTTTATAAGAAACAATATGTTAATGATGTGGTGACTTGTCATCAAGTTTGTGTTGAAGTTTTTTTTTTTTTTATGAGGCTAATGCCCCCCTTGTTCGTTTTAGATGAGGAATGAATATGATTCTACGTGTGACAATAAAAAATTGAGAAATATTTAAATAAATTGATGTATCATGTTATTTATAATCTATTCAATTAAAATATTTTAAGTAATATAATTAAAATATTATGTGATGTTATTTATTAAAAAAAATTATGTGATATTTTTTTAATTATTTTTATTCATATAATATAATTCACATTTAATTTCTTCCCTTTTATCTCTTTATTATTATTAATATCAAAATTAATTTATATTTAATATTATTCAAATGTTATATTTTTATTGAATAGATCACAAATAACATGATGCACCTAACCTACTTAAAAATTTTCATAAAAAAATGATAATGTTGTCAATTTTAAGAGAAAAAGGTTCTCTAATTTTTATGTCAAATTTATAAAAACAGTGTAATAAATATATTTAATAAAAATATACATGTATGAAAAAGGAAAGCATTGTCCTCCATATCTTAGCCTCAATAGCATCCTTTGCTTTGTCGTTTCATTTTGTGTCCATATCATATGCTTTGCTTAGATGTAACTTCCCTTGCATTTAAGCCTAGTTTAACTTTTTTCCGTGCTCATCCTTCGTTAACGGGAAACGCGGAAAGAAAGGCAATCGTGAAATTAAAATATTAGTATTAGTATTAAATAATATTTATTACCTTTTGTTATATTATATATAATATTTATTCTATCTGAATTACAATGTAAGGTGTTTTCAAAAGCCCTACTCCATCCAAAATATTTTTCCATTCTAAATTATATGACACTTTTAGGAGAAATTTATTATCCTAAAATATAAAACACTTTAAAAAAATTAATAGGCTTATTTCAATATTACCTTCTATCTCTCTATTTAATACTAATTAAACATAGATTCAATGTTATTAAATGAAGGATATTTTTAAAATTTTATATTTTTATTTTAAAAAAATAAATTTGTTGCATATATTTAATTAAGTTTATTAATATGTAAAATTTTATTTAAAAATGTCTTATAATTTAAAATAAGGGAAATATTAAATATAGGCATTTGATAGATTATGTATATTTCTTTTTCAATTATATTCTTATTTTATTATATTTCACTCAAGTGCTTAATAAGGGTGTTTTAAACAAGACAAATATTATATCTATTTTACTCCATAATACAGTTGGAAATATATAAAAAAATGAGATAATCAAAATTTTAACTAACTTTTTAAAAATAAATAAATTAATTAAAAATAATTTATATCGTGGTCCGAAAAGATTATTATATTGATATCATTATCACTTCTTGATTGCACATTAAGTTATTTTTACTATTATACACTATCTGAGGATTATGTCTTCGTATATTTAATTTTTTTTTTAATCCTACAACACACAAACATGTTTCGTCAGGTACGGCTTGATCTGTATTCTATGACATTTTTATCAGCGACATGATTAAATTAAATGAATAAGTAAGAAGAAGAAAACCATAATGTTACATGTGAATTTGAATTTAATTTAGAAATCCAAACCCACACATTTTAAGTTATCCAAACTATTAATCTAGCACAAATTCAAATCCTACTTCAATTTTTTTATAATTTTAATTTTTTTTTAAATTCTATTATTTTAAATTTTTAAGGAAGTTTCTTTTTTTTTTCTTCATGTTCATGTGTCGATTTCACTACCTTTTTGACCTTGACATTGCTGCCTCCAGCTAACTTCCACCGAAACCACACAGCTGGCTTTGACCAAGACCGTACAGCCAATTTTAACTGGGATCGAAGAGCTAGAATTGATTGGTGGACTGTCAGCTGTGACCAAGACTGGACCGCCTATTGTTATTAAGACCAAATCAGCAGCGATGATTGGGATCACATGATCGGAACCAACAGGACCGCACGACCAACACTGATTGAGACTGGACTATTTGTTGTAGTTTGGAACATGTCTTTGATCGTTATTTTTGATTCATCCACCTTTATTGTTGGGCGCCAAATGTTGTTGTTAACAGGAAATAAGCTAGTCTCATCATCCAAGACTAAGTCCAATCCATAGTCCTCGGACTATTATAATCATCATTTGTTAATTCATAAGTATTGTTTAGGATTAAGGCTGGCGAAATCAATCAAGATCAAGCTACTGTTGCTAATCAAGATTGGACCACTAGCATTATTTGAGTTGAGACAGCTAGAGTCAATCAAGATCAATCTATCACCCTTGATTTAGACTAGATCATCGATTTTCACTAAGATGAATTTTGAATTTTATTTGAAATTTAAACAAAAAAAATTAATATTATAATTTAAATTTTTTATATCATTCAAATAAAAAATTTAAAATTTATATATTTTAAATGGAAGGTTTTAAATTTGATTTTTTAATTTAAATCCTCCTGTCTAAACGTAATCTAAGTATTTGTGTTCATTGATTAATATCTTATTTTTTATATACCATATATAAATAGAGATTATGTGTAATTTTTCACAGCCTGGTGTGATTGCAATGCCACACCTTCATTATGTCAAGTCCGATGTGACATATCACGAAATTTGACCATGATGAATAAGATTTGACATCTAACTATGCAATTGAATTTGTATTTTGTCCACAAGAAAAAAAGCCCAATATATCTTTGGATGTCATGGTAGATCCTGAATTTGATTAATCAGACTTAACCTCTGCATGGTAGGAGGAACGTTGGTGAGGTCGTGAAAATTTATGACATTTTAAAAATTAAAAAAATTACGAGTAGTTTATTTTTCAAATAAATAAGCAGATGATTGGTGAAAAAAAAATTGGCCAAAAATAAAAGGGGAAAATTTGGTGTGTGTTTTTAATGAAAAAGCAAAAGAAAATGACAGTAAAGTAAAGTCTTAAAAGAATAAATTTATGATAATTAAATTTTCAATAAAATTTTTTAAAATAAGTTGTAGGCATCAATTTCAACAACTGAAAATGAAAATTTTAATTAACATTTAAGAATTATATTTAAAATTTAAATATTTTATTTATAATTGAAACTTCTAAATTTACAGTTATCTAAATTAATATTTGTAAGTTATGTTTTTAAGAAAATTATCGAAACCTGATTATTGTTAATTAAGTCTTTTAAGACTTAACTATATGTCATTCTCCTAGAAAACTATGAAACTCACCATGCAAAAGCAAAAAGAATTACAAGAGAATTATTGTCTTTACTCATCAAAATTCACCAATATTTGAAATATAAGATAATAATATCCAGAATGTCAATTTTATTACATGGATGAATTATTTTTTGGATCCTAGATGTAGGAGCCAGTTAGGGTCAGTTTTGATTCTAATTTCTGAAA